TTATTCCCAATTCATCTTTTATCTGAATTCTTCTTAAATAAACTAACTGAGAAAAAAGAGAACAAAAGAAGGAAAGAAAAATAATATCCATATTTTACCAGAAAAACATCTTACGTCGATTTTTTCTTCGCTGGTAATCGAATTTTCCTTTGTTGTAGCTTCCGAATTGTATCAGTAGTCCAAGAATGACTTCGCTTTGATGGAAAAATGAATGGAAATTTTCAATTGAAGTATCTACAAATGGTTTGAGCAGACCGACTTAATGACGGGCCAAACTGTCGAGGATGAATTCAAAATGCAGCAAAATTTCCAGTTTACCGTATAAATAATAGACAAATCTTTGAATATTTCATTAATATGTTTAATAGTAACTGTTACTCTACATAGACTACAATTTGTTTTGTTGGAGATCAATAAATGTAGATGTAAACAAATTTTATTCACTAATGGTCACAATTATTGTGGATAGTTGCAAGCCATTCATGGAGCATCTGAGAAGAATCTTCAATAACATTTTCGAAAAATTGAAATGATTTGGTTCATTCTGCATTCTGAAACATATTTTAGGGCAAAATCGCATAAAAAAAAAACATATTTTAAAATTTGTTAAAAATAACGTGGTCTGTACAATTAGGGCTGTAAACAATCTACTAAAAGGGGTAGATGGGGTCCATATAGCTATGTGTTATATTATATGTATCAGTACGAACCGGGCAATGTCCATATAGCTATGTGTTATATGTATTAGTACTAACCGGACAATGTCCAGATATCTGTGTGGTATATGTATTAGTACGAACCGGACAATGTCCAGATAGCTGTGTGGTATATGTATTAGTACGAACCGGACAATGTCCAGATAGCTGTGTGGTATATGTATTAGTGCTACCGAGCAAAGACTCGACAGACTTAACACTGCAGAATAATAACCATCCAAGACATGTTGACATTTAGATATAAAAATTCTTGTATAATGATATTCATTAAAATAAACTCGATGACTATCAAACTATAGCATTCAACCGTTATACACTTCAAATTTGTATTTCAAATTAATGGTTTTTAAAGGAACGTTCCCGTGAATTTCCAATATCAATGATAATCGCCTAATGAAGCCTAAATAAAAGTAGAATTTTTTTATATTAAGGAAATAAAACGATGCCCCTATCTGTGAGCAATACGTGCCAGTATTGATAAATATTTTTTCTGACATATAGTGATGGCCATCAGAAGCGTTTCTAGTCCCCTTCCCACGAAAAGCGGCAGTCTCAGCTTCACTCCTCCCCCCCCCCCCTCCACCATCCCTTTTGGATTTCGTATCAGTTCTGATTCCCATGACTGAAATAATATTCATTATTTTTTAGGAGCCAATTTAATATATGATTAAAAATTCAATAACCACACCACATATAGTGATATTATTGAAAATCAAAGGCGCCATTATAATGCATTATCAGTGTTTCTTATGAACGATGCGTGCCTCCAAGGTGCGTAACGGAAATTTCAAATCCACGAACAGCAATTCACAAGCTATTTTACTTCATTATGAATTCCAAATGAAACAGCAAGAAAGGTACTTGCTAACAATCATGATACACGCAAAATAAAAACTGATATTAAACAGAAAAATAACATATTGCGCAAACGATATATGAATTAATATATACTATTGGTATGTAAACTATGATGAATTCTAGTAGATATACAATATACCTCATTGAACGACTGAATCTCTCTTATAAAAACAATTTAAATGAGCAGTCTAGCGGAATAATGCCATCTGTTACAGCTATGTATTAGCATGTCAGTGTTGTAAGCTAAGCTTCAAAGAGAAACTCTATCGAAATTGTATCATTACATTCTTTTCCCGTCGTTTACGGCTTACACCATCTCCTTTTGAAAACAACTACACTTCTCTAAATCTATTGTATCTAGCTATTATCATGTAAGCGTTGGGAACCTTTTACTGTCGTTGAACTTTGAACAATTTAAACACCCAGTCTAGTGTTGTTATGGAATAAAAATATATTGCAATTATCTGCCATTTCTACTGTTGCAAAATTCGGGCAGACACTTTGTCAAAATTGTAATCATTAAAACCAGTCAAGACACCCTTACCTGTTACATGGATAGTCAATTCAAATATTCCATCACATTATATCAGAGATGACGAACAGAAGTGACATTTCCATAATACCTTTATTCAAATCTGCTAAAATTGTCGTCTGCTTAGAAATTTCCTCGCGTCTGAAAGTTTCGCGTGATATACATTTCAAATCGTTATACATATAGATAGTAATGGATCGAAGCTTTTAGCTTTGCTCAACCAAATCCGCTGTCGTGGTCTATATATGTTATGACGACTCTTTACGTGATTAAAATGTGTTGTTTTAAAATGTATTGGATCACATATTGTATGGTGCTAGTTCTAAACTGTTTCATTTTTACCGTTACATCCTGTCTGCTGTCACTGCCATGATACAATATAATAACGCATACCTACTCTGTACAGGATTAAACACTGTGAACTCAGAATTTAACAACATAACCCATAGGTCACACCCGAAGCTACTGGGGGTCAAAGGAGGGGGTTTGGGGGTGAGGGGGGGGGGGCATAAAATTGATTGCTAGCCATTTCCATTACTACAACCAAACACCAAACATCATCGCCCAATCCAGATGTCTTACATGCCCTTCTGAACAATCAAATCTGGCTATTAGTCTGTCATAGATTTCAAGACTAAAAGTTTCAGCTTCAACTTCGAAGATACAACCCTGAGTTCATTGAGTACTTATTAGAATGGATTGATAAGAATGTATGCTAATAAACTAACAAATATTGTATTCAATTTGGTATTTTTCTGATTGTAAAACTCGTTCTGATTTTATTTTCTAAATAATGAACACTTTTTATGCAAATTATTGAAATGTAAATAGAAGTCGATGATTGGGGCCGGTTAAGGTTCACGCCCCCTATCACCCGGTGGTTATAATTCCATTCGTAAGGGCCGAGGAGCTATGTTGGTGTGAATTATCGGGAGATAATCCATTTCTACTATCAGACTTACAGACCACAGCAAAAGCTTATTCTACGGACTCGTTTACAACAAATATCTGGTAATTTGCGAATTTATTTCAATATCTTGTGAATCTTGCTCACGTTGTCATCTGAGGGTGAGTTACAGGCCCGTGCCACCCCCCGAAAAACTTCTGAACGACCCGTTTCATTACTTCAAAGCCGATAGTGAAAGCGGTTTTAAAAAATGCCTGAGAGATAAATGTAAAGGTTCTCTACACCATGACTGGAATATTCACACTGTAAATCAACAAGTTTTTCTCTAAAGATAATGATATCACAGACAGTTTTCATCACAATATACATATTACACATATTCAAAACTAAATTCATAATTACATAGAGGTTATATAGAACTTTGGACTTCGTGTCAGAAATGTTATCTGTCTTATAAAAGGGATTATAAAGAGGTTTTCTAAAAATTTGTATGTGCACCTGGTGGTTCCTGTAATTCCACTAAATTGAGGTGTTTGATGAAGTCGCTAATCTTGAAAAAAGCAAATCACACCAAGCCCTTCGTGACGTCATCTGTGTATACTTTGTTTACTAATAACAATACCAAATGAAATGACAAACATTCAAAGAGAGATAGATCATATATGAATACATTTCAGTTAGTCTAATCACAATCAAATGTAAAACTGTCTTGGTAATATTTATGGTTTACTGCTCGTACCAAAATTGGATTCATCCCAATAAGAATCGCTGACAAATAGAGTTATACATCCTGCTCTTATACTCAGCAAACAATAACTTGCGTAGATTCAAGATAATGGCTCGATAAATTAGTTAATTTTAGAAATAAATATTGCATGTAATAATACAGATTAACCAAGTACCAACGATCAGAACCGCAAAACGAAACCCGAAATCCAAAACATCAAAGTACTTTTCAATAACTTTAAAGGGAATGTAAAGATGTTTTCTAGATTTTTTATGTGTATCGGGGACACATTACATCTTCTCTTGTTGGAGCTGAGTCATTTCAGGAGAACTCTTTCTGAATTACACGAACCACAGGTATCAGAATGTCCCAAATAGAAGTCAAAGGTGTTTCCGATGCACATAAAGAGGCTAGAAAACCTCTTTACAATCCCTTTGTGACCTCGGAAACATCGGTCCACAAGCAGAGCCATTCACCAGTGGTGAAAATGAATAAATCAATTATTAACGATCCCAACCGCAAAACGAAACCCGGATCAATCCACCAGCAGAATCGTCTGTTCCAGAATACATAATCATTACATGGATTACATCGTTAATATACACAAGAACGGATTTGATGGTTTGAGATATTACCTTTATCTCACCCAAAATGGCCAAATGTTGTTACTATGGTTGGAAACAGGCTCAGTCTTGTAAGATATATACAAATAGGCTAGATATAATATTCTAAGATGCACATAGTTATGGATTCAGCTTATAAAAGCTTCGTCATACCCGTCTGGAGTTAGCTTTGATAGATTTATATCTCTTGAGGCCTCTATAATTAAATATTCATGTATTAATACATAGCTCTCTCTCATTCAAATGCAGGTATAGATGTTCTATCTTGAGCTCTGTTGTTGTTTAAATCGTCTTCCCTCGAATTTTAATCCAATTGCAATGATACTTAATTTATACTTTAGACAGGGTCAATACAGTCAGCCGACAATACAAATCATTGCTAAAAAAGGAATTTCACAAGGTCCTCACATATAGCATAAAGTTATTATATAGCACAATATATAACTCGTTTAAATGACTAATAAAACTCGACTAAATTTCAGTATCTTACAATCACAGAAAGCGAAGGGAATCAACAACAGATAACAAAATCCTAACAGATAACATAATCCCGAAAAATATGAAAAGATCATCTAGATCTGCATTCAAATCAGCAGGACGGTTTATTTGGTTTCATCGAGAAAACACTATCGTTTGTTTATGATACTTGGTCAAGTTTAACTTTTTCTACTGGCGTTGTCTTACTGGAGCACAATTTAGACGATAATCCGCGAACTAACAATAAAATAAAACTACATAGTTCTCCAATCGTAATAGCTGACAATCCTAGCCACAGTCCTAGCTGTCCACCAATATCACTGATTAAATTCATCGACTGAAATACAAAATAAAACAGTTCTTAGTGAACTTCATGTTAAACGTAATGTGTTGTTAAAACAATTCCTTTCTCTTTGGCAAATATTATGGGGTTTTTTGTGTGCCAGGGACACTGATAGCATCAATTTGCACCATTCCCATTTTCAATCAGACGTCTGTGGTCCATGTAACTCCGTGACTCATTTCGAAGGGCCGTATGTGATAAAGCATATTTTGCGATTAGTGACTTCTTTTTGTTGATTGAACGGTTGATGGAGATTGCAAATAATATTGAAAATATTAATACGAATACCACGGAATGACCATCTTTATAGAAGCACATCGGTATATGGGAATGGTATAAACTCTGTCCAATTTAAAATCCTTAGGATATGGATATTTAAGGTATGGCCCGTTTGAAATTTTAGGTCCATGGGTTGATGATAATAGAAATAAAGCATTCCTATTTACCTCGTAAGATTTGGTGGCTTCTATACTCTTATAAACCATTTCTTGATAATATACCCGAAGTTTAACAAAATCTTTTAACTGATCACCCCTGTCAAAAAATAATTCAACTATAAACTTTAAGGGACAGTTGCGCCTCTTTTGCTCCATTGAGTTGAGTCTTGAATATATGTAAATAGTCATGGAAAGACGACTCGTCTTTTTAACTTTCAAACGCGGATAATTCTGGACACACGTGGATTTGAAGGCTCAAATTGAAACGGTGAGCTGTGGACATCATTTCTGATTGGCTAAGCTAACAAATTCCCGTTTCTGAGACTAAGGCACGATTGGTCAAAAAATGGCGCATCTGTCCCTTTAAGTAAACAAAGTAGGTATGGAATGATGAACAGGATATTCTTTGAAGTATTGAATATGTTCGATTACCTCCCTTTGAATAAGGCAACTCCTCGATACAAGTTATTGTTTCAACTTGCACTTGTTAGACACGATCCGTTTATTTTAGAGATAATGCAGGGCGCAAGATGCGTGGGAGTTTTGACAATTTTATCTGTTCATATATTTAAATTGGTATCGAATCACAGAGATACATCAACTATATATGAAAATGGATAAACAAACAGTTATCTTTCTATCAGAAATGAAAAATAAAAGTAGTTTTTATGAAATGATATAACCAGATCTAAGAGTTTAGAAGAATGATGAGTACTCTGACGAGATTTTTATTAACGGAATTGTATTGCTTGTGCGGATTTGTCAACGCTAGCGCTCTTCAGCTCCACGGAAACTGTCGAGGATTGCCGAATGGAGTATAAGTATACTTACCCAAGAGAAAAGCTGTCCATAAAATCGCTTCTACTTCTTTGAAAACGACTTGTTAGCTGTTCCTGCAAAATATTGTTTTATTTACCTATAGATCTTAAATAATTGCCCCTTATCGTTGTGGGACGCATTGCTCGGACCCGGTTGTTACCGGGTGCGGTTCTCAAATGCGCTGGGGCGTTTATCAGATGTTCGTGATGATCACGTGATCTGATATTCAGAGAAACCCCAGTGTACGTCATATGACGGAAATTGAAATCATTAATATGAAGCATAAGTGACCACGATACCCAGAATATGGTCGTAGATACATAAATAATATGATGGATACACATGGATTTGAAGGTTCAAATTTAAACGGTGAGCTTTGAACACTGTTACTGATTAGTTTAGCTAGCTAACAAGTTGGTCAAGTGGGTAGCAAACCTGTTCCTTTGATCGACCGCAATTACTTTCAATAACAAATAACATTTTAGGATCATCAAGTTCATATGACATTTACGTTGACGAGATGTTCCAAAACAGAACTGACAATAGAGAATAACCTCGCCTTTAGTATAAATATTGATGACTAATATCTAATGGACAAATAATATTCGGTCTAATTTACCACATGATAGAAATGTTTATGATATTTACCTTATAATTATTGGATGGCCATTCAGCTGCAGAAATAGATTTATCATATTTTCTCTCTCTATAGAAGTAATAAATTAATTGGTAAATAAAACAATATCTATTAGAGTGGTTTTTAAAAAACTAATAACCACCATAGAATAGTAACCTCTGATATACACAGTTAATAAATATATTAACAGTTTTATGTTTATTGAAATAAGTGCTCTTAATTATATACTATAATAATATATACAATAACAACTTATTTTCTCTGTTAAAATCGTGCTCAATATGTCAATTGTAGAGCTATATAGACATATAAAACATTTCAATATTTTTACTTCTATACATAATAAAATATTTTCTCTGTTGAAATAGTGCTCAATACTTCAAATGTATGTTTATCTTGTAAACAATATAAAAGTACCGATTGATAAGATGAGAAAAAAACACACAAAAAAATAAAGTAGGAGCTCTGTGATGATGCCTGAGATAGCAGAAGAACTATCAATTCAAACCCCCTTCATAGTAAGGATAGCATTTGTATCTCTGTTGGTAATATAGTCCTTTCCAATCAGGCACAAGGTCAATTGTATGTGTTGGTAATAGAGGTCTTTCCGAGGTCTTTCCAATCAGTCACAAGGTCAATAATTGTATTTGTTGATAATGGAAACCTTTCCAATCAGTCACAAGGTCAATTGTATCTGTTGATAATGGAGACCTTTCCAATCAGTCACAAGGTCAATAATTGTATCTGTTGATAATGGGGACCTTTCCAATCAGTCACAAGGTCAATTATATCAGTTGATAATGGAAACCTTTCAAATCAGTCACAAGGTCAATTGTATGTGTTGATAATGGAGACCTTTCCAACCAGTCACAAGGTCAATTATATCAGTTGATAATGGAGACCTTTCCAACCAGTCACAAGGTCAATTATATCAGTTGATAATGGAGACCTTTCCAACCAGTCACAAAGTCAATTGTATGTGTTGGTAACGGAGCCTTTCCAATCAGTCACAAGGCCAAGTGTATATGTTGGTAATGGAAACCTTTAGAAGTTTAGGTATCTTGTAACTGGGAACCCTGTTTGAATTTATGAAAAGAAATATGTACTTACATACAGGGTTGAGGACATTTTGTATTGCATCCTTTATACTCTGATTGTCTTATACTCTCTATATTTGAAACACACCATTCTGAAAACAATGAGTTACATCTTGATTTAAAGAATACCGATACTAGGAAAAATTCCTTGTGTCGTGGTGCTTAAATATAAAGGCCCGGATTCGAAAATGGCAAAGCTGCCCCTGGGAATGGCTTTTTAGAGAGCAATTAAAAGCTAAGTTCCATCTTGTTTATTTTCTCCATTTGTTCTTACTTTCCAAGCTCATCGGCTTCCTGAGTTCCGTAAGTGTTTTCGTGCTTCAATATCTAAGGGAATGGCTGTTACAGATGGGTTCCCTTATTTTCATCCATGAAAATGAACATTCTAATACTTATATGAATAGAAAGTAGAGGTGGTCTAATGACTTGGAAAAATACCAGTTTGTCTCACATGTCCATAATTAAATCATAATTAGCAGCAGAATTCCAATGAGTGACCGATCAAGAAAGGTTAAAAAGTATTTTTTGTTTATCCAGACTGTACATACATGGACATTTATGATTGGTAAAAACTCTTAATTATATGCAATAAGAAAATAATGCTATGATTAAGAATACATGATAATGCATAAGAAACACCTGATAATCTAATAATATTGAAAACGGATAGCGTAGTTACAGAGACCATCTCACTTGTGATTGATATACTTCGTCATGATCAATAGCTGCTACCAATGTTTCTCCAATATGCTGTTTGGATTTCGGTTTGGTTGTTCGGTTCGGATCGGATCGTTTGTCCTTGGTTTATATATCCATGTAAACGAAATAGTGAGATAAATGAATACAAACCATCGTCCTCATTGGTCATATTACAGACACCAGCTTTGTTTACTACATAGTAAACTGGAGATTCACAACCACATTCGTCTATGATGAGTTCTTGGTAGCATGATTTCATACAAGATATTTTACTGTAGTCGTAGGCAGAATGAAGTTGATACAGATCATCAGTGGTTCCAATATTGGCACAATCAGAATGAGGTGGTCCTAAACGTACCATTTCAACCTGCAATAGGAATAGACCTGGTAAAGTTTCTTTTGTAACAACTTCGAGTTATCTAATAGTATCGAAATAATAAAAAACAAAATTCCAGATCGAAGTTAACCGTCTAGTTTTATTCATTTAGATCTTAAATAATATAACAATTCAGATATGAAATCGCGAATCAAGCCGACAGTAGTGAAATATTTAATAAATTTGCTGAGATATAACCGTTGCTGGTGAACTTAGTGGAATTTGAGCTTATAAGTACTGCGATGAATGTTTCAAGACACGTCCATTCTTTTGGAACACCTGATGTCACTGCGCGACTGTGTTTGTCAACGTGGTATCACAGGTATCCCTTTCGGAGAGTCCATATATTAAATATTGTTTATTTAGTTATTTATAACACTCAGATTGGTTTATACCGAATACATGTAGATCATATACGTATAGTCTAAAATCCAAACCTACCGCTTGTAGCCCTATGGAGGTTGCATACCCTGGGGAGACTGATACACCTTCATCCTCGGGAAAGGGTGTGGCATTTCTCGAATGAATGACAACCCTTATACCCGCCTCCTGGGACAGTGCTGGTACATAGTCGCTCTGTTCTAAATATAATTCTAATGTTAAACCTGAAATGGGAATAATAACGAGTTACTGCCCTTGATTGATCTTTTTCAAAGACAGAGAATATTCACAAAGGGGACATTTGTATCAACCTTTAGCTCGGGTTATCATTTCAGTCGCGCTATGGCCATACTGTTGAAACGTGTATGTAATACAAATTCTGGATCAGACCAACTGAATTGGAAAAAATGTTTCTTTTCATTTTACTTCAAAGTGAACCAGCTCAAGGAGCGAAAATCGAACAAAAGAAGCATGTCATAAATAAAGCGTCATAAAACAGGATACTGTCTTTTCTCTTCTAAGCAAAACCCAGAAAGCCGATTAACTGTAACTAACGCCTGATACACAATCGAATTAATACTGTTTCGACACGTCAGTTTGTAAAAGGAAATATTATGCAGAGATTGATTGAATATCTTGTTTGTTAATTTCACATGATCTGTTTCGTGCAATGTTGATTACGAAATTATTAGTCTTATTGTTGCCTAAATATAGTATCCTCCAAGTTCAATATATTTTGTGAATATCCCATTAATACAATGCAAACAATGCCGATGTTATTGATAAGTTATCGAATGAAATTTGAGTTAATTATTAATTACTGAGCTATTGTTGAGGTTATATACATCGATATACCCCATATCACGACTTTTAGATACCATCACGTAAAACATATAGTAAGTATTAAAAGAAACCATTACCGATACAATATATCAAATCAGATCAATTTACTCGGGATAAAAACACATCAATACAAACAGTAACTATTTTCATGATATCACGATTTTTTTGCATTTACAGAACCATAACAGACACGCCCGCATACGATTGTGACGTCATCAAACGCTTAGTTCTAGTGGAATTGCTGGAACCACAGACGTCTGATTGAAAATTTGAATGGCGCAAGCAAATTAATGGTATTAGTGTCCTCGATGCACATAATTTTTTTAGAAAACCTCTATACAACTCCTTTAATTCACAACATAAATTATGAAATTAGCCTACCATACAATGGTCCAGCAAATCTAAATTATGAAATTAGCCTACCATACAATGGTCCAGCAAATCTGGTTTTCGCCGAATTCGTTTTTCCAGGGTGATTAAATGTGTAACAATTGCCATATTTATGATTGTGGAAAGCTGTGAAATTACTGGAAATAAAATAGATACGGTTGAGTTTGAGATATCAATTTCTCTATGTTATTTTGCAAATGAGAGCATCAACACCATTCAGACAGTGGGTGACCTTGTGTTTTTCCAATTGATATCTTTTGGATTCATCCCATTTAAACAAATAGATTTTGAGACTTTGTGCAATTATTGTTTCACTTAATGCATTATGTTCCAGTCTGCCACGACAGCCCCGTTTGCCCGAATCGTAGGGCGCAATGAAATGTTGTCCATTTTTGTCTCCCTATCCAAGTTTTGTTAGGTTGTGCTTAGTACCATAATGCCCCCGCCTGTAAAGCGTCACACACCGAGACGCACCGTAACAAAACAGCTAGCGTTCACTTGCTTGCCTTGAGAACTTTTAAAATCCTGGCTCTACATCACGGCAATTACGGTCTGCCACGTTTGCCTATCCCATCCCCCGCGTTGTCTCACGTTCATTCCGTTTCCCCAATGGTGGCTTAAACCATGATTGTCGCGGTCGCTGTTAGCATAGTGTAAACGTAGCAGCATAAACAACAACCCTGTTGTAGAATCGTGTTAATGGACCGGTGACATCATGGATATTTTTTACCCCAGTTCGTTAAAACATTTACAAGGTTTACCTACTAAAAGGAGCATGCGATGAAGAAACAGTGCCTACGAACTATGAAAATAGATTGTATACTTACTGCGGTGAGCACGGATAACCAGCAAATTTGCAGTTAATCATAAAATCTTTCAACAAATGGCCTGTTTTCAATACCTCAACCTCGGAAACCTTCGCAGAAAATTGAGCGTACATTAAAGCAGCATCGAGTTCCGAATTACGAGTATTATAGAAATTGGTGCTATTGGTTTTGTTCAGAATATCCCATTGATTAAAACTTTGCTTTATGAAGTAATCGGACATTGATTCATAATATGTTTCTGTAGGTGCATGCCCCATTTCTGTAAGCGTTGTGTCTGCAGTATCCATTTGAGTTGTTGGTTCATATGGTTTTTCAGTTGTTGAATACATTTTCATAGTTGTTGGTCCGAGACCTGGGGTAGCTGTTATTCCGGGACTTTCAGAAGCTGTTGGTCCAGGACTTCCAGAAGCTGGTGGTCCAGGACCTCCAGTAGTTGTTGGCCCTTGTGCTACGGTAGTTGTTTGGCCTGTTGCTGATGTACTTGTTGATCCGGGACTTGGGGATCCTGCTGGCCCGGGATCAACAGTTGTTGTTTGGCCTGGTGCTGATGCATTTGTTGATCCAGAACCTGCTGGTCCGGGATCTCCTGTAGTTATTGGTCCTTGCGATGCTGTAGTTGTTTGCCCTGATGATGATGCACTTGTTGGTCCGGGACTTGGGGATCCCGTGGGCCCGGGGTCAACAGTTGTTGGTCCTTCCGATGCTGTAGTTGTTTGCCCTGAATTCATTTCGTCGTCCACGTCATCAGTTGTTTCTGTGTTTCCATCCGGGTCACTCGGGCCGCTCGGGTCACTCGGGTCACTCGGGCCGCTCGGGTCACTCGGGCCGCTCGGGCCGCTCGGGCCGCTCGGGCCATCATTTGATTTTGGACGTTTACCTACAACATAAACTAGCACTGTTTACCACAATCTCTTCCTGAACTTTCTAAATGCGACACGTTTAAGGACTCATAATGAATATGAATCCGATTTTACATTATCTCCGTAAAATCTTTCGTACCTCAAAGATGGCAACATCAATCAGAATTCTGAATGTTTTGAACTTAACAATATGGTTGTCTAAAATGTCTATATCGACTCAAAGGGCTATAAGCTGACGAACCAAACGTGTTCAATAGCTAATTGTGACGGGGACTGCCGGAATAACATGGTTATCTTGCTTAAAAGTTACCCTTCTTGATATAAATGAGCAACTGTCTTGTGCCCATATCTGAATAAAAAAACGTACCAAATTGATACTTACTAATAATAACAAAATACGTACCTATATTAACGGAGCCACCATACATACTGATAGCCTCGTCATATAACATGTTATCTTCTTGAAAATTATCTTTTGTGAATTTTTCAAGTGCCTTTAAAGGACGCGTGATATAAAAATGAACTTTTCACTGGATTCATGTTACATACTGTAACACTGGGGAATTCTAATTCAGCCACAGTCTCCACCTTCATCGTTACATCTTGTAGTTGAGGCGATGATTTTAGCTTAATACCAACCTTTTAAAAGTGGCCTGTATGTAGAATACTCGTAATATAATTTATCTTATCTTACCTTTCTAGCAAATTAGCACATTGAAATGACAACCACCCTAAACAAGCCAGAAACGTAACACACCACGCCAATTTCTTCAGGATATTGGACGCCCTGTAGATGTTCACCAATACGGTAAAACTCGTTTCCTGACAAAAATCACCCAACTGTTCTCTTAGTAGTTTGTTTTCAGCACCATGCAATTCTGGCCAGGCTTTCGCTTTCTTTGATTCCATTATGACAGGATTTACCATCGCCTATTTCCTTTAAATTCTGGAGAACTACATGTTTATCCCGGTACACATCTGTTACACGTGAATTTCAAATGTCATTAAACTAATCAGTCAAAGCCAACGAGTATATACAGGAACCAATTTACAGATATCAAACCTATCTTTGGTCGCCAGTCATAAAAACCAATCGATTCAAACCACGCACTCAAACCCCTTAATGATCCATTTACATCGTCAAATACAAACTCTCTAATATCTAATATCTAATTAATAGATGTTTACGTATTTGCTTTACAAACTAGCAGAACCCGGTCCCTGCACCTATCAGAAAGACAGTATCACATCCAGTTATTATGATAATTGTTTCAACTCAACTATAAGTGGTTGAACTTGCCAAAGTATATAATAGCATGTGTCTCAAACCTTTGTTCATACTCAGTTGAGATTTTACTCAGATTTAAATCAGGTATAAAAGATGCATAACTGATTGTAAAGAAAAAAAATTTATTAATCTATACCTTAGGTCATAATTATTCTGGCATTATCAAATTAATCTTCAAATTTTACCTTTTCTAGATGCAAGGGGCATTATGAATTTGAGTAATAAGTAAGCAAGGCATGAGAAATGTTTTGGGGCCCCGGGTCGCGGTCTTCTGTATCACGATTCAAAAATAAAAACAGTATGGAGTAACGACATCATATAGCTTAGATAGCCGCCAGGTTTTCATTATGAACTTTTCAGGCCAGTTAGCAGCTAACTTCATAACACTCAGATCATTCTCTACAGATGGGTACTGACCTCTAGACTTAAAACATCTAAACATCTCTCAATACATATTATGTTTTACGACAGTGTTGACTTCAGATTGATTATACATTCAAGTTCGCGAATATCGGCCCTATTTAGGAAAATGAATGATCTATATTCTATAACGTTAAAATATCTATTATCGTGCAGTTAGCGTTCGGTTCGGTAGGTTGAGTGGAACTGAGATGAAAGCGTCAGTAAATCGTTAGTTATTATATTATATTCTTCGTCTTCGTTTTATATTATTCATATGTTCTGAATGCAATTGCACATGTTTCATATGAATCTTTAATGTGACTATATATATATATATATCAATATGAGCCACTAAGTTATGGTTTGGTAGTCCGCGTAGGCTTAAAGAGATGAAATCAATCAGATGGGAGAATCATTCCCAAGGTCCATGAGCTCCCGATTGTGTTCGTTAAAGACACTTAATCGCACTCAAATGTACCCTTGCAAAAGCCTTAGAAATATTACTTGACCTCAGTGATTCTACCAAATGCAAAAATGAAATGAAATGAATTACTTTTCTGCATCTGAAAGGGCTAATGAAGACGGACAACGCCATGTAGTGTTCAATGAGGACAATTTTGCAAGGTCGGTGGCATTAGCCGAATCTTTTTCGAAGTGCGACTATCAATGGATCTTTTACGTACACGAGACGTTGACGTTGTCCCATTGTTTATTGTCCCACCCGAACGACTAGACTCTTTTTCATGTCAGTCACTCCGACCTGCATCACTGACTGGAGGAAATCGGATTGTCTACCAAATGCACATGAATCGTGTAAGTTATTAACAGCTATGTGCACTATTTTGAATAACCGCATCAAACAAGAGTTCATTCTGTTGTTGTTAAAGTAAAAATAATGTTAGGTTAATGGTTTTTAAGTGGGAATAAACGTTCGGATTCCCTAGGGACATCTGATTTATTGCGCTTTAATGGTAATATATTGGTTGTTTAAGTAGATTTTGTTATATCAAACGCAGTACTAATAGCGTTTATATATAGTATATTATAGTACTCACCATTCCTACTTTCGTTTCCATCAACCCTCAGAAAATTAGGACGTAAAACTCCATTCATTTCATTATCAACATCCCTACTCACAACGTATCAGTGTAATTTGCATAATGTGTCAATTGTAAACAAAAATATAATTACGATCATTAAAACAATAAACAAATAACAATATTGACCTCCAGAATCTCGTAACCATAGTGACTGGTTTAACCCCCACACCCAGAAAAAGAGCAGGAGAGCATACATATAAGTCTGAGGGACGGGCCCCAACCACTTACGCCCATGGGCTCCCACTCCATCTGGTAGAAATCGGACTGCTAACCACATCTTGCCTCTGGTGGCGTCTTGAATGATCAGAACGATCACTGGTTAAGATTCCTAGATTGAATATTCCAGCAGCACCTTTTGCCCACAGTTGTTCCTGTTCTATATTTGCTAGCAAACTTGTATTATATATATTTGTGACTGTAATGAAGGTTTTTATACAAATGTTCAATATTAAATAAAAGTAAGTTAATGTTTACAGAAAATTTGCAATTCAGAATAATGTAGCTAGATTCATTTTGAATAAATACCGATTGACTGTTTCCAAAACAAATTAGAAGTAATCATTCCAAGTTTGAAACTAGCGCTCTGTAGTTGCTTTTGATTCATAGAGCATTTTTGTAAAACCAACTTCAGTTTGCTCTCACAGTACAAGGAATGAAGCCTTATCAATTGAACCAATTTATGACTGAAAAAATATAAAGAGACTACTTACTTATTAATTTGTTAATTATCAATGATTTGTGATGTAGATAAAATGTTAAGTGTAAAAGTGCTTCAGTGTATAGGACTATGCCGTTGGACGTATTTCCCAACCACTATTGACAAAAGCAGCCTGTATTGATGTTACTTTAATGTATCAATGGCAATCAACTGTTCTAATATCACAAGGTCGAACTCACTCAAACAAATACAGACTAACAATTAATTATAATGTTAAATCGAATGAATGCACTCGTTAAATGTCTGAACTGGGATATTTGTTCGCCATAATCTTCAGTTTTAATTGCCATTTAAGATGATAATCAACATACATTGTATTACAAAATCTACCACATAGATCGGCCAATAGTCGAGATGATAATGGTGGGATGGATTGTCAAAGCCAAAAGAATTTCCAGACTGATGCCATGACCTCAATGTTATAAAAGAAGAACGTCGACCACTCTAGAGCTTTGTAAAGCTGAATAAAGCATGAATCTTTCATGAATAGTCACGGATCGTTCATGAATAGAGCATACATGAATCGTTCATGAATAGAGCATACATGAATCGTTCATGAATAGAGCATACACGAATCGTTCATGAATAGAGCATACATGAATCGTTCATGAATAGAGCATACATGAATCGTTCATGAATAGAGCACGAATCGTTCATGAATAGAGTATACATGAATCGTTCATGAATAGAGCACAAATCGTTCATGAATAGAGCATACATGAATCGTTCATGAATAGAGCACGAATCGTTCATGAATAGAGCATACATCAATCGTTCATGAATAGAGCACGAATCGTTCATGAATAGAGTATACATGAATCGTTCATGAATAGAGCACGAATAGTTCATGAATAGAGCAAGAATCATTCATGAATAGAACATGAATCGTGAATTCCTTGTACAAGTATCGTTCATGACTTGTGGAAAAATCGTACATGCATAATATAATGAAGCTAGTATGAATTGGATATGATTAGGACATGCATCTTTTATGACTATCCGACTCGTTGAAAGAGTGTGAATCCGTACATATGCGAAGTATAATGAATCTTGTATGAAGTGAAAATGACGACTGGTTTGACAGTGAAGGTAGTGATTACAGTTTATAAGATACTGTTTATATGACGACTGGTTTGACAGTGAAGGTAGTGAATACAGTTTATAAGATAATGTTTATATGACGACTGGTTTGACAGTGAAGGTAGTGAATACAGTATATTAGATAATGTTTATATGACGACTGGTTTGACAGTGAAGGTAGTGAATACAGTTTATTAGATAATGTTTATATGACGATTGGTTTGACAGTGAAGGTAGTGAATACAGTATATTAGATAATGTTTATATGACGACTGGTTTGACAGTGAAGGTAGTGAATACAGTTTATAAGATAATGTTTATATGACGACTGGTTTGACAGTGAAGGTAGTGAATACAGTATATTAGATAATGTTTATATGACGACTGGTTTGACAGTGAAGGTAGTGAATACAGTTTATTAGATAATGTTTATATGACGACTGGTTTGACAGTGAAGGTAGTGAATACAGTTTATAAGATAATGTTTATATGACGACTGGTTTGACAGTGAAGGTAGTGAATACAGTTTATAAGATAATGTTTATATGACGACTGGTTTGACAGTGAATGATAATGAATACAATATATTAGATACTGTTTATATGACGACTGGTTTGACAGTGAATGATAATGAATACAATATATTAGATACTGTTTATATGACGACTGGTTTGACAGTGAATGATAATGAATACAGTTTATTAGATAATGTTTATATGACGACTGGTTTAACAGTGAATGATAATGAATTCAATATATTAGATACTGTTTATATGACGACTGGTTTGACAGTGAATGATAATGAATACAATATATTAGATAAATATTAAAATGACGATGGTTTGACAGTGAATATCTAATATATTAGATAAATGGTAAATGAACATCAAGTGGAAACTGTATCTTCTTTTCACTCTTTATCACCACGTCATTCACTGAAAAATATAATCATCAGAAGTTTTATCTCGTGATCTCTACACGTCTGTTTCGACATTATTCCTTCAGACCAATATTTAAGATACAAAGGATAAGTATTAGTGTTTACAGATTTACAGCACCAATGCTGGAATTTAATGAAGACATTTTTTTATAATGAAAATAAAGTGTGTTGAGTGGGTAATTATAATTAGTGTCGACTTGGACATCTTCCTTTTTAGAATATATTTCATTTGCAACAATCACACACACCCCGTTTAATTGTTAACTGCATCGAAACGTATATTATGCTGACAATTTAGCACAAGAAAAATGTCTGAAAAACTCTTTCGTCTGTGAATGATGTTCAGTTGTCTAAATGTCTTAAATGCTACAGAATAACTGTTTAATACAATAAATTATTTTCACTGTTAAAATAGTGCTCAATACATCAACTGTAGATTCAAATATTTTCTTACCAATTTCAGGAATGATGTCGTAAATATCGTGACCTCTGAATGATCGAAGATGAATACTGATTGGTGTTGTAATCTTTTCACCGGTGGAAAATTCCCAGAATCCATCAGACGTGTGCTTCAATTTGACCCATTTCTCACCTTGAAGAGCTCGTACTTCAGTTGCTGGCACTCTGAAATTTAATATACCAAACTTACAGGAAGAAAAAGGGAATAAAGCATTCATACGCCCCTCCCCCCCCCCTCTCATCAAGAAATAGATATGACATCAATTAGAATATTTGTACTATGTTTAACTTAGACAGGCTAACCTCGTATTAAGCGTGATTTTCAAACTGACCAATCAATACGCTTCTACATGTTATGTTTGGTTTTGTAAATACGACAAAAAAGTCGTGAATATTATTTAATTGTCGGCAACCCCTCTCGTGGGAGAAAATTCATATTGGACAAAGCCAACCACTGCCTTGTCTATTTTTAAGGCCTTTTTAAGACGACGATGTCATATTTCTATAGCGCTGTCCACAAAAAGATCCATATAATTAAAATTAGATGAAATTAAACAAAGTACTGCAATACATGTCGTAATATATCATAATCATAATCAAATTAGATTCGATTAAACTTACATCAATGCAAATATTTTAATATACAAAACTACAAATAAACATAATGATGGTTAAAGCAATTTGGACTTTAATTGAATCTATATTGATCAATAATATAAACGTAACAAATAATAATGTAACAGCTGTTTCATAATGTAACTTATAAAACACTAGTCTGTAACTCACCTGGCGTTTCTAACCTGGAGTTTTATGTACCACACATTAGAACCCTGCAACAAATATTCAATGTAGCTGTTTCCGACTGGACATTGTACAGCTTGCATTAGGATCTTCCAGCGTCCATCGCCTTTCTCGGCAAGATCCAGATCACCTGTAAAGTGTAAGTTTCATTATAGGATTACTTTTCACGGTGACTGAATGTTAAAGGGATTGTAAAGAGGTTTTCTAAAAATATTAATAATATCAGGAACATATAGCATTAAGTGTTTAATGACGTCACGCTTAGTGACACGATTAAGCAAGTAGTTCCACTGAAATTGCAAGAACTACAGAACATTGGAATTGTGCAAATTGTTGCTGTTAGTGTCCCCAATACACATAAAAATACCTCCAATGCAATGAAATACAGAAGTGAATTCTGAGATATAAAGTGAACACGGCGCTGTTGACTGCGTTTTTTGCAAGGGAATGACCTAACTATCATATGTGTATAAAAATTCCTCAGAGGAGGCGGTGTTCAGAAAAGGAATATCGTTTAATATACGTTAAAGGTAAGATTAAAAAAATTGTCTAATCATACCGAATAAACATTTACTTTGTCAGCTGGCAGAACTCACAATTACCCAAGAAAAAATGAATAAAAAATAACAGAGGAACCATTCTCTCATTCTAGTTTATGATTTGCAACCGAGGCGATAAGATTTCATGGGTTATGTCTACATGGAAATAACGACCAGGAATCTTAATCTCTCTCCTTTGTCTTTATTTGAATGTAAAGAAGCAAAATCCAATTAGCGAATGAAAGCGATACCACCAGCAGTAAAAGGTTTTTATCTATCATGAGAAGTATCTGCAGTCACAATCGAATGTCAGAATGATTCAAATCTGTGGGTTTCAATACTAACCTTGTAAACATTCTGGACACATGTCTTTTACAAACACATTGAAATCACCTTCAATAGGATCTAAACCTGCTCCTTTACCTTCAGCATGTACCTGTAAGAAAATCGGCAAAGATTTTGACATGGCGGACCCAGTAAACAGGAGAGCAGGTAAGGGACCAGAGCGTCTAAAATACACACTAGAAACATTATTTGCATTTTATTTTATCATTATGATTCTAATAACTGGAAAATGAACCATCCACAAAACAATGAATATCGCCAAGAAGAGACATATCCTTTCGTTATATATCATCAAATTATGGAAAGGACCTCCTACTTCCAAAGTGAATTCTGCCCTATAAAGTCTTACAAATTTGTGCAAAAATTGACGAAAATCACTAACGCAAATATGATATTTTAACCAGCATAAATTTTACCCTATCAGTTCCGGTGACGTCACGATATTACATCCGATAACCATACAGTTGGAGTGGTAAGGCTAACAATGAATAAACCTAACAATATATATAATTACAGAAAATATCTAGCTTACCCTGAAACACATTCCACAGGTCATAGCATCGTGGAACTGAGGTTTATTTAAAGCCACGAGATATTTAATATGTGGGCTAAGTGCTGTCGGTGGTAAAGATGGTGGCGTGTATGAACAGGTTCCATTGGGTGTCTTCTTATAATATGTTCCCTAAACAACATCAATATACATATACGTTAAATATTAAGTGGGGGGGGGGGGCGAATATGTTTACTAAAACCTCACATCATCATTAATCCGAGACTGCGAATAAGCATCTCACTTTCTGAGCTTCCACGAGAAAATGAGATTGTATTGAGAACATCAATTAGTATGATTTTGTTGTAGATGAATTTATAGGCCTGATCACTTATGCCAAAATTGGCTGATCGACTTAGTGCCTTGAGATCCCCGCTCGCCACGTCTTCGAGTCTTTTTCTTGGACATAGTGATCAAACTTTCTGACTGAAAACCATGATACTGTGTACTACAACAGACAACTTTTTTTAGGGATTTAGAGACAGTATACGCGACTAGTCATTGCTGGCTTAACAAAATTTCTAACCGCACCACAGCATCGCAAATATAACTGTTTCAATTTACAAATTTTCAGCCGAGTAAACCTACTGTTCGTTCATAACGGAAATGTCCATAAATATAAACTTGTAACACTTACATCACCAAGATAGGTGTTCTTGTACAATGCTGCCAATTCCTTTTCTAGGCTCAAATCAGCTGCAAAACAACACGAAACACTTAAAGAAAAGCTTAATAATATCCAGCACATAGCCATGGTGGCCTCGTATGCCTCTCTCTCAGACCTCTACGTGGCTTTTGGTGTAATAATATTGTGTTTGGTTGACAACAATGAGTTTACTTAACATCAGGTCGCTCTATTCGCTAATATTTGACTCGAGGTGTTTAACAAACAGGATCTTTAACATAACATTGACTTTTTGTAAAAATACGACCCCTCATGAACCCAGTGACATAATATGACATTTACGGAAATTCAATCAATAAGGTTTTTGACATCTATATATCGATTAAAAGGGAGTTATACGCCAGCTTTAAAATAACAAGATTTGTCTTCTATTGGTACACATATAATTCTTTTTAAACATTGTGTGAATATTCTTGGTTTTTCATGAAGGTACATAGACGCCTTGAATTTCATTTGCTTATGTATTTATATAATATATTTTGCAAATTCCAAGTTACAATTATAGTAGTTGTAAGTGTGTGGTTAGACTAATACATATATTTAAAAAAAAACACCAATTAAATCGTTACATATTTAAATCAAAATAACACAATACCTAATAGTAAGGTAGATGCAATAATCTAATTGGATTCCAAAGCTATGTGTAACAAGTTAAGGTTTGACCAAACAAGAAAAAGAAAATGAAAAGTAAATAAGTAAACATTTAAGTTGAACAAAGGAAACAAAAGGTGGAAGTAAACAATCAACAAAACGTCGAATTGTTTGTTTGTATTGTTTGATATAAACAGGGACACTTGCAACTAAATTTGCCGATAATTTTCACAATTTTTAAGTTCGTTTAAATCACCTTGATAATTCTAAGCTGTATTTGTTTTGTATGTATCTTTGGCTTACAACATAAGACAATAGTCACCTTTTATATCGTTATTTAAAAAGATGAATGGTTAAAAAAATTTGAAACATAAAGTTATGCGTAACACGGTGAGTTTCCCACTTGTTACCTATGAGTAATAGCATGACTGTCGCCCAGTTCATTGTATTGGATGATTATGAGGATGATGGTGATGATGACCACGATGACGATAACGATGATGTTGACGATGATAACGACGGCAACTAATCAGGGACCCAGAAAGGGGTAATTGAAAGATAAAGGTTGAAAATTCCTGCCCTAAGGGTTGTAAGCTACTGATTATAGATCACTTAATGGAAAATAGATCTGGATTCTGTGGCTGCTTTGACAAAATGTCTCTGAATTTACACTGCATGGCATTGTAGAACAGTTGACAAAATCCTTTTTCATTTTATCAGTAGATGTTTGTTATTGTCAGTGCATTTCATATCTACCAAATTCAAGTCAACCTTTATCAGTAGATAAGTAAGACACCATCTGTTAACAATCACTTCCGTTTACTAACAGATGATTAGCGATTAACTAGTATAGCACAGGTAATTAATTGACTTTCACAACTCGCTATTGAATTGCAAGGTGGTAAGATTTAAGGGATATAACATTCGAACCATGATTTATGTGTTAAAATATCATTTTGTGGAAGAATACATGTATATCATGGGTGTAACGAATTAGAATTAACAGACCACCAACTCTTCGAAGAACCCATTTTAAATTCGCCATTTTTGGGGGTTAATTTTGGTCTTTCTGATTTGGGTTGAATGTACTAAAATAGTTTTTCAGAAGTTCTAAACATGTACGAAACTCGCATAATACTTAAAAAATATCTCAAACTAGGACTTCGATTTGTCTTTTCTATATAAGGAATGGTCTCAAGAACAGACGAATCTTCCAAGACTAAGGTAGTATATACGCTTGTTCGAACGAATGGCGAACCCTTCTCCTTTACCTGTTATATCATTAATATCTTTTGTAAAAATAATAATTTTAATAAATTTGAATAAATTTCTATTCTGTTGCAACTCGGAAACAGTCGCGATGATCCGTGATAGTAGAGGCAATTTCTCTTGTGATTGTCCGCCCTATGGGACCTAAAACATGTCAGTGTATTCTCTAAATTTGCTACACATGCGAATTGATATATTTACATCATTATGCACTTTCATTCTATATTAATCTAACGCTTCAGTAACATCGAATCCGAATACTTCACAATAGTAAATTGTGTTACTAAATTTAGCTCAAATTAGCAGGTAGTCTAATGATTTTGGCAGCTCGAGGAATAGACTATATGTATCTAAATATAAGATTCCTATAGTTTGGCAACGAAATATGCAATAATGGCCACCATGTGATGTTTTTGATAGTATTAGTTAGTTTTCTATAATGACCAGGATGAATTTTGATAAGATTGTATTTTTTTCAGTGGTGATAATTATGTGGGTATTAGCTGTATTGGGTCTGATAGCGTATACAGGTAAGTCATCTGGAATAATAGTGAATGTATAAAGTTATTCGTGTTTTATCGAGATCAACTCAATACCTTCCATTAAGTAAAGGCAGATAACCAAGTACGTTCAATGAATGATGTTTATTTGAACTGAAACTATCGATATCTGCTATGTGAATCAATGAAATAAGAACGTACTGCTATCAATCAATTTTATGCTTCCGAATATTGATGCTATTCTATGCACCCTAGAATGACATTAAAATCCAACAATTAAGTCAGAACCACGATTCTAACATTTCTAGGCTTCTTGAGCACGATTCTGACATCCGAGACAACATTTAAATATATAAACTCCTGAGACATGATATTCAAGCTTCTTAAAACAGCTTTTCCACCATTTTTGATTGTTGTAAGGCTGATGATATTAATTTGACATTATTTATCCGCCAATTAAGAGATATTACTCGATAGAAATCTGAATTTTAAGCGGTACATAGAATAAAATGCAACGATTCTTCTGTAACTTTGTATTTGAATGATGTTAATTCACCGATTTCGAGAGTCAGTCCAGTGTAGTTTCCAACCCAATCCACGTTGCTACATCAATATGGTAGTATATACCAGTCATGGTGTATTCTATTAGTATAGTACTATATAGTAGTGGTATTCGAGCTCCACTCATCCATGGTAATGAATGTAGGTTTGACTATATCGTCAGTTCTTGATAGTACTAGTATATAAATTGTTGTAAGTTTATAATTCGGATCAGTTCTATGTTAGTTAATGGATCTCATAGTAGTGTGATCAGCTACAGCTCTCTCCAACGATACGATAAACTACCCCCTAACAATGGCGGAACAATCATCAAGCTTATGCTTATCCCAACGGAAAGGTAACGTTGACCGAAATCTCATTATCTCTCATATATACTATTAATAGTCTATTTCTACGGTGGTTCATTTAGGACCCGGATTTGAGGTCAAGCTAACATATAAGACGGGGCTACAACCCTTTTAACCCCTTAAAGATCATTGATCGATTGCATTACCCCCTCTCCCCTATAAATCTTTCCTATTTAGTGATTTTCTCTACTGCAATCATATTCAGTTGCAAAATATTCTTGTTGTATAGAACAACAACAACAAAATTACAATATTCCAAAAATGGTATGCTAGACTGCAAAACGTTGGTTGGTTTTGTAAGCTGCTCCGACCAATCCGACCGGAAGTTATTAATTACACAGAATTTGGTTTGAATGAATGAATGAATGAATGAATGAATGAATGAATGAATGAATGAATGAATGAATGATAACATATCGACATACTTCTATATTTACAGTTAATGGTGATACTGCGTTAGAACTAAAAGAACTACAAGAAGAATTTTTTCAATGGAAACTAAAAGAATCTCCATTGTTTGCTACAACTATTGGAGAATACAAATATGACGATATTGTCCAAGATCTGAGTTTAGCTCATCTTGATCAACGAAAGGTACAGTCATTTTCATACAACGTTGCATTTCACATGGACTTCTGGGGGAGTAATGGCATGTCCTTCCAGGGAGTGGAGATATGGAAATTATACTTTGTTCTCCCATAATTCGGTTTTAAGAATTAGTATATAGTGTCACAACTGTATTTCCACTGAAATAACATCTGTGGTAGCATATTTTATTGTGTCTTGACAGTGGTGTTTCTGCGATAGACCCCCACCCCCACCTCCCTCCTCTCAAACGTCTTTTCGTTTTGCATATGGACATAATTGTCCATGATACCCCCCTCCCACGTGACAAGGACTGGCCACTGATCATCATGACTTTGAAGTATACCAGTGCTTTCCTCGACAATGTATCATAATTTATTTAGATAAATGTAATTCAGTTTTCGCGTTAAATCATTAAAATTGATTTGAATTTACACCGATTTTGTGCCAATGTTTGTCTATATTTCTAGGTTATAGTGGATGGTTTTATAGAAAAGTTAAAGAGAATAGACAGAACATTACTACCAAGAAAAACTAGATATAGCTATGATATATTCCTGGATACATTACAGACGTTTGTGGATGGATATAAGTGGAAGTAGTAAGTACATGAGTACAACCATCTTCACAATGTCAAGCTATTACGAACTGCATATATTTGTAAATAGAGAGATATGATTGGATTGTACGCTAGCGATTGCCGCCAATCATAACCCCCGATGACAAATTGTTTACAGTCATCCTGTCGAAGGCTCTGATTGACTTTATCCGCTAGTTGCAGTAGGGCCGTCTGGAAGGTACGAGTAATGCATCCTTAATAATGATTAGAAATTAAACCGTTACAAAGTAATTTATATTTTTTTCTTCAAGCCATGGTAATCTGAATCCTATGTCATCTTTAGAAGGATTTCAGACAGATCCTAGTCTCATTCTAAAAATATCTCCATTTAATACCAAAGGAGATTTTGAAAATTTTATTTCACGACTACTTTTATATCCAAAACAGGTAAGATGAAAAAATACTTCCCCTCCGGCTGTTTCGCATTGGTGATACCTTGTTCCTGCAGTTAATGATATCCTGATGTGTCTCCTAATCTTGTTCATTCGCTGATACTTCTGATGTCACTGTTTCTACTACTGGCACTGATGATGCAATATTGATACGAACTCTTTTTGCTATGTTCTGATGCTCCAATATCACATTCAACCTTTTTGAGAAGCATGGAATATAAATATCAAGATATGCAACTGGTGTTTTTCTGTTACAGATTGATCAAGTGATAATAAGATTTAGTGAAGCTATAACATTAAAAAATACTTTACACAATGTTTCTATAGTAAGTATTAAACAATCATATTTTACTTCAATTATTGGGGAGATGAGATAAACAAAGCAATTTCTGAAAATCTGCGGACCACAGCGGTTAGTTTCCAATCAAACGTTACTGAAATAAAGAGTAGATCTGTATAATTTCAGTCATTTCTTAGTTAGCTTGAAGAATGTTATAAATGATCAATTTTACAGCATAATGTATAAAAACATTTGTCATGTCTGTAATATGTATTGCTTATACTGTTGGTGTCTTGTTTTGGACTGAAGTGTGCTTAAAAGCGATGGTCGATAAACTAACGTTATATTGGTATATTGTTTATTAAAGATCGCAGTACCAGATCAACTAGCTAAACTTATTGTTGATGATCCTAAAAAATCCATTTATTTTGCACCATTCAAAGATCAAGTACACAAATTGGATGTTAAGAACGCTACCCAGTAAGTAATTGTAAGAATTTACCAAAGGAACCTGATTTGCATGAATTTGGAATCATTTTGTTTTCTACTCATTATGACTCAATACAAACTATTACAGAATGCTATACGGGTATTCCTACTAAACCGTCAGTTCCCTTTCTTTATCCATCGACACAAATACCACATTTCTACACATATTTTCTCTTTCTTACGTGTTTAAAGTAACTTTGAATCTGCATTATATCGTCGTTGAATCGACATTTTATTGATATCTTTAACAGAGATGAATTAATAAAGAGAGGTGCAGAAGCCATTAAACTATATATTGAATCTATCAGTAAATTGAAGAAATTTCTAGAAACAGTAAGTTTATCAATTTATAGTTCTATACAGAGATTGTTATACATTTCTAAACAGTGGTTGATATACATTCTTCAAGGGATGATATTCTCGAACTACAAATCTTGAAATAGATCTATTGTTCTCTTAACATAACATAAATGAAGTTTTACGTCCGAACGCTTTTTTTTCCTCATTATGTTGTGTACATATAGAATATGGCCATGCGACATCTCCATCCAAGCGTCAATGTCGTTCCATCCAAACGGAGCATTAATCTGGTACAACGGTTTCGTATTGAATTTTGGTCATCCATACATACTAAATGTTTTGTAGAAATATATTCCTAACACAAGACAGTCGTACGGTGTAGATGGATGGCGAGATGGTCAGGATTATTACAAGGCCTGTTTAAAATGGCATCTTACTACGGATATGACACCTAGAGAAGTTCATCAGAAAGGACTGGAAGAGGTCAAAAGAATCAAGGAAGAAATGTTTAAGGTATGTTGAATCTATAGTGAAAGGAAGCTCTTATGAATGATAAGATGTGGAAACACACATCTTTGAACTACTAGCAGTGGTGCGTCAAAATGGACTTGAGGGATCGAGATGATCCGTACATATTGTAAAATGATCCATACTGTCCTGTTTCAAACATTATTATCAAGATTATCCGTTTGTGAAGAATTCTATTATTTTAGATTATGAAAGAAAAAGAAGGTATAACAGACAGTATAGCCGGGTTTTCAAAAATATTGATGAATAGACCATCTCTTAAATTCAATACTGCGGTAAGTTATTGTTCTGTATTTAATTTATCATAATGTTTGCAAATAGTAGTTAATAATGCCCACTGAAAATTTAAAAAAAATCAGCAGTCAGGAGAAAGTGTGTTACGTTCTTCTTAATAATTACAAGCTCTTCAGACCTGTTTGTACAGATCTATTTCCCAATCCTGTAGGAGTACCTTGATGATCGGTATGATCTGTACGCAATGGCAGAGCCAGGTTTACGTCCGAGAGGGGGGAGGGGGGGGGGGGGGGGGAGATATCTGAGATTGCCCGAATCTCTAACCTAGTTATGAGATTTTTTCCATAAAAATTTGTTTTTCGTGGCTACGAGAGGGGAGGGGGGGGGGCTGCCCCCTCTGCCCCCCTTTGGCTCCTCCACTGTCTGTACGAATCTCGTGGATTTCTTTGTGGTCTGTACAGTTTAAAATAAACATCATAGATTGTCTGGGGAATGTTCAATTTGTACTCAGATACAGATACTCGCTGTTGTTCAAATCATCTAGTTCTGTATTTTAAATTGGATTATGTGAATTCCAATGTTATATTTTAAAAGTCTTGAACAGAAGTTATTATAATTTAACATGTTGAAGTTCTTGAATATCTATTTATAACCACTGTAATTTTACTGTTTTACATTTCTATTCTGAAGTATGTTTACTTCAATAAAGCCTGTGTCACATGCAGACCCGTAGCCAGACTTGATCGTTCGGAGAGGCAATGATGTACAGTATGTTATGTCTTTGCAGTAATGGTATTAGTCGCTTGTCAGACTTTCTTCAGGGGGCGTGGGGGTAATCCAATCCAATCTCCCCCCCCCCCCAATCCTAGCTGCGTCTTGATATGCTGTCTTTCAAATCTAAGAGATTTTTACATTAAGGACAAATAATTTTTTATCGTATGTTAGTTTGCAAATTGTTTTCCAAATTTGAATTATAGGATGAATTATTAGCTGAATACAATAAGTTAATACATGATGTAATATATCCTAAACTACCAGAATATTTTAAAGATATTCCTGATTATAAAGTTATGTAAGTATGTAGACATCCATTCAAAAGTAGCAGCTACTAATGAGATCAAGCAATGCGGTTACCTCGTCTTTAGATCTGTAGTCTGATATTGGGCTCAGGACAGTGGCGTAGATCATAAGTAAGGGCTCGTGAAGGGGTCACAGGCCCACCATCCACCCCCTGTGGGCCAGTTTCTTTTCTGGGGTGTGGGGGGACCATGGCCATCTTTAAATGATCAATGATATTTAGCAATGTCAAATTATTTTGTTTATCAATTAATTTCAGAGTGGAGCCAGAGAAATACGATGGACCAGCTGGACAATATTTTATAGGAACAGAAGATGGTAGTAGACCTGGTATATTTCAAGTTAATCTACTCAGACCGAATGAAACGTATGTTAGGTTCTTTACAATTATTTGAATATTTTGTCTTTAATAGAAACATGGACATTTCTAGGGCAATATATCATTCAAAAAAAAAAACATGCCAGAATTGCAGACATATTTTCCAAAAGTCAAAATAATAAAATTGAATTATTGTTTGTCATTGTAAACGAATTGCGCGAGCGCGGACCTATGAGAAGCCCTCATATTTTCTAAGTTGAAATTCAATATTAGCCTACTCAACAGAAAATTTCAACCAAAGCATATTTAGTATTAGAAAAACAATATTGGGGAATGGGACAAAAATTCACAGATTGCATTGATAGGGGGCGGGGGTGGAAGAAGGGGAGGGGGGTGGGGACGGTAGGTAGGGTATAATGTGTGATTTGTGATGACAGTATATTGACTAGCCTCGACTTATACCAATTTTCAAACGGTATAGCTATAGAGATTGCAACCGGAATGATACGTCAAACGTATAAAAAGGGAAATGATCATCTAAATACCATCTATATTTTCAAATATTTGTAATAGATTGAATGATATTACTGGACTGGGAAATGACTGTAATCTGTGTAGTAAAACTATTAACAAAATCCTTTTAGGTTGAAAATCAACATGATGGCTTTAACACTGCATGAAACAGTTCCAGGTCATCATCTACAGGTAAGTCTAATTTTCTCCATTTTGTATTCTTTTTTCTGTTATTGAAAAAGATAACAAATGTAGGCCTACAATGAAATAAAATATACCGGTGTTTTACGTCCTATTTTTCTGACCTGAAAAGACCAAAATCACTACAAGGCAGTGAACAATGACATTTTTTAGAGAAAAGCGTGACAAGTAGTTGTATATTTTAGGGAGCTTACCAATTAGAAAGCAGTCTACCAAAGTTTCTGAAGAATGCCGATTATGATGCGTATTATTCTGTACCTTACCACTTTCCCTTCTATACATCATATGTAGAGGTAACGCGATGTTTTTGTTTTTTTTGAGTGACGAGAAAAGAATGGAAGAGATAGTGCCAAAAGGCAGGCCCGTAGTCAGACTTGATTGTTCGGAGGGCAAGTAATATATCCTGAGGAGCAATGGTGTATTAGTAGTCGTTAAGGTGGTTCGAGTTGGATATCTGAAGGATATTTTTAGCAACAAGCTTGTGGGTGCTTAGTGGTAATGAAAACAGTTGCCTAAACAACCACAGGAACGTAAAAAACACTCCCAGAGGTATAACGTTCTTTGTACGTACTGTAAGATAGATAAGGCTTCTGTTTTTAATAGTAATTATTATTGTAGGGTTGGGGTTTGTACGCTGAATCACTCGGTGAAGATATGAATGTTTATAAAACTCATTTAGATTTGTGAGTATGCTTTTCATTGCACACGTTCAGATTCCGATTAAACATCTTAACTTGTATCGAACAGGCTCTTTGTTCTTTGTTATTTGTTCGCTAATCTCTGTTTCGTCCTGACCTGACTTTCCATAAACTGACTGAACACCATAGATGTTATCTGTTTAATAATGATAAGTATAAAACCATAACATCTGAAGATAATTACTATAATTTGATTTCAGATTTGGTCGTTATGGATTTGAAATATTTCGAGCGTGTCGTTTGGTAGTTGATACGGGACTTCATTATTTCAAGTAGGTACCGGCTATATATTCTTCAATCCAGTTATAACAAAACTTGTGGCATGCAGTGATATTCGCGAAGAGTGACCATTCACATCTGTCTGAGCATTTGTAATTCTGTTCAGTAATACTAGGCCTGTTGAAATACATAGTCGGGGGAATATATGTTTTGTCTATTGATGAAAAGTAAAGCTCTTATTACATTGATATTGCCTAGTGCTCTTTCTGCCTTTCGTAACCAACATAATGATGTCAATCTTCGACCTTTACTTACAGGTGGACAAGACAACAAGCTATTCAGTATATGGTCGACCACAACACAATATCACTGGCAGAAATAGAGTTAGAAATAGATAGATATATAACATGGCCCGGCCAAGCTTGTGCTTATAAAATAGGAGAACTGAAAATTAGAGAACTACGAGAGAAGGCTAAAGCTGCACTAGGTAGATATTACATTATTCATGTGTTTAATTGAGCTGATTAATGTTATATCTTTTTTGAAACAAAAATGAAACGGTCAACAGAGCTTTATGTATGTGATTTATCTTCAATTGCACAATTCCTATTGTTACGTCACTATTTTATACACTATTAGCTCGATTAGTACATCAGGAAATCTCTGTAAATGAAAACAGAATTCAAAGCGAAGAGAAAAGATCCTCGAATCACCTCACTCGCAATTCTTGCTAACTGCCATGGTGTTTCATAATTTGCTATGAGACAAAATATTTTGTGTTTTACCATTGGGTTTCAAGCTCTCTGACAACAGGCAACAGGTCTAGATTGGACACTTTCTGAAAGTTGTGATGGGACAGTAAACCGACTCCGTGTGTTACAGTTAAACGAGCCTCTGTGTGTTACAGTCTGTTGCTTTTATAGAACTTTTTCCTCGCATTTTTCCTCGCCTTTTTTTACCTTCCCTTCTCGCCTTTTTCTTCGCTTTGTCTCTCGAGGAGTTCTCATAGGCGAGAAGTCGGAGGGTAATATGTCCTCAGCCGGCTTCCATAGAAAGCTAATATCACCGTCCGTTTTATTTTGTATACTAGATGGCTCTTTCTGTTTTCATTAACCCAGTGTTACAGGACGTAAAACTTCATTTAATTTTATTTCTCATTACAGGTGATAAGTTTGATATAAAAGAATTCCACTCAATGATTCTGACCTCCGGACCCATGCCTTTAAATGTACTCGAGACCATCATCAACGATTGGATAACAGATCACAGACAAACATTAATTGGAAAATAAAACTGTTTATTACTTGTAGTGTTTGCTACTTACTATAACATTCATTGTGGTCTGTCAGATAGGGATCTTGTCGTCTCCAACTAGTATAGCTTCATTAAATCAACAAACAATTTTATTGTCAGAATAGATGACTTGTGTGATACAGTCAATATCAAATCAATACTGGTGAACTTTGATCTTCATTCATTAAATATATCGATACCTCAATTTTAAAAATGTGTACAAAATATTGCCATTACTCCAGTGCTATCACCACGATCAGTTTAGACCACAAACCGTCAAACTTCACTATTGTGTGGAATCTCCTGGAATCCTGTGGTCGACAAAGGGAAATAAATAATGACTTCATAATGTTCTACCATTACGTGGACAAATTACTGAACACACAAGGTGTATCGCAGCCGTTATAATTGCCTCTGAATCTAACAAGCGTCGAGTGATTCTTTAATATTCAGAATTGGACAATTACAGAACCCACAATCTTTCTGTTTCCAGTAAATGCTCAAATAACTTCATCGAATTATATTTTATGTAATAATAACTAAATATGGCATTTTCCATTAAATGATTCATGATTCACTTGAGAAAATGTGTTGTTATCGAAGACAGCACATTCGTATTTCAGCCATTTGGTATAAATGAATATAACACCATGTTTTTAGTAAGTGTTTTGTGTTTCTTACTCGATAGAAATATATTTTGTCTAATATATTTACATGTGATCCAGAGTTGTGTGAAATTTAAATATATACATAATGTTTTATATTGCTTATATGGCAGAAATATTTCGCGGATTATAAAGTTGAAATATCGCGTCAGTCCGCCTTTAAAATGTGTGAAAGTTCAGTTACATCCCAATAATTACTTGGCGTTGGGATTCAGTTTTTATCCAATTTTCAACCAACATTTCCAGGGTAGTTAAAGGAACAGGCCCATTCTCTAAAACTACAGAGTGGAAAGATCGAACATCAAACCTCGAACCTGAAATTTGATGAAATTACAAGAATATAATGAACATCAAATTACTTCAACTTAAATGTCGAGAACAACAACTTGTAGCGGGGAGGGATACACCGATCTCCGATCTTATCTTAACTTTACTAAGATCGTGAAAGTACTTTCAAGACATTCTGTTAATAGAGTTATGTCCCTTATTGTTATGCTCATCACACCGGAAAACGCGTACTGGGACAATCGGTAAAATGGATAGCCAATGATGTTTGCTGAATGTAAACTTTTGGATATCCATTTTGGGTAATGCAGTTTTAATGATTTGTCATATTGACCTATGTTTATTGGTGTTATTTGTTTTAAAATGTCGTTAACAGAACTATTTAAGTAGAATTTGAAACAAGTTCTTACCCAAAGCATTCTTAGCCTTTTCTCTCAACTCTTTGATTTTCAGTTCCCCAATTTTATAGGCACAGGCTTGTCCAGGCCATGTCATGTATCTATCTATTTCGTTTTCGATTTCCCCTTGACCATAAGCTGTTCTGTCTAACATGTACTTTATACACTGATCTCTTGTCCAACTGTATTGAGAAAAAAACACTTCAAATGTACCAATTGTCGTTGGTGATACCAGTCGTAACGGCCGTACAACCCCTCATAACTTCAGTGAAATCCGTCTTCACGTCAAAAGCCGCTTCAACATCAGTAAAAACCCAATTTAAACCCTTTTAAACGTCAGTAAATCCCGTTTAAACGTCAGTAAACCCGTTTAAACGTCAGTGAAACCGGTTTAAATGTCAGTAAACTCGTCTTAAAGTGAGAAAAACACATCCTGTAAAACCCGCCTTAAAGTCAACAAACCTGTAAACTGTTTTAGAGGAACCTCAATAAAATGCTTTTACAACCGAGTTCCGTTTCTACGTTCGACTTCAACCATAGTTCATCAAACCGAATCAGAAAGATATGAAAACTTACTTGTAATGATGTAAACCGGTATCAACAACCAATCTTGCAGCTCGGAATATTTCAGCACCATATCTTCCCATTCTGAAAGATGAAAGAATGCATAAAGACAGATTCGTTATGCAGGGCTCATAGTTTACCCTCTTCACCCCTTAAGGGTGACCTGCGCCTTTGAAATGAATCGCGATCTAAACCTTCAATTACCAGATCCATCATCGAATCCTGATTACATCCCTTGTCATCACCTTGTTCTTTACAGATGAAGGTCTTCAAAAGAATCTGTTTTCGCTGATTAGAAATAGATTGTCCATTACCAAAGCAAAATATCTAAGTAAATATATTTTGACAATCCTAGTCACTAGTCGTTATAGCCTACAGTTCGATATGACAATATCAGATCTTTATACGCCTGGAATAGACCAATGAAACCATTTTAATTGTTTAATAATAATACTCACAGAACGTAATCATCTGTATACAATCCTAATTCTTCTCCTAGATATTCACTATACAGACCCCATCCCTACAAATATTCATAATAATTATACATATAACATAGCTTAGCGGACTATCCAAGAGGGGTACTTTGTTGTTCTCGAAGAGTGAATATAACTCGAAATTCCAAAGGGGAAATCGAGAATCGGCACAAGCTTGAGCATATAAAATATTCTCGTGTCTAAAACGGGTTGATTACTTATCAGACAATGTTCCGTCGCATGCTATGCGCACTTTTAATCTCACACCAATAACCCATTCCGCTTCCTGGTATAACAGGAGCGTAGGCCTGAAAGGTTGGGTTATTAAAATCATACTATTACCTCCAAATAAGCTGTGTAAAAGGGAAATTTTAACGGTGGTTGATAGTAATTGGAATCTTCTTGAAACTTTCTATAATCTGGTAAAGATGCTGTCAATGCATAGATACTCTGCAATAAATTTTTATAATTAGAAAATTCCTGAACATAATGCATGATAACATCGTGTGGCTCATATAATCAGACAGTTCCACAACATCCCGTTTATTCTAAATAGTCTAAAGATGCGAAGAGACGCGGTGTTGTCTTCTTTCCCAACTACCAACAGTGCCAAACCATTCAATTCATTCAGATCTTACTATGAGCTATCACGACTACCAACAACTATCTGTGATATCAGTTAGCTAAAAGCGGATGGATGTTAACTCATCTAACAGCCAGGGGCGATGTTCGGTACGGAATCCGGTGTGGAAATATGGATATGTTCTCGTTTTTTCTCTAATCCCGTATCGTACAATTTACTGCACATCGTAACTGGTAATGGTAATACAAATTTCAAAATTTAGCTGTCCGTATCGTGCGCAACTGACCTGTAGATGATGACCCGGAACTGTTTCATGTAGAGACAGAGACATCATATCAATAGTAGCTCTGTAAATAAACAACTCATACACATTATCAGTATATTATCAGTAGGAAGAAGGTAGCTTCGTAGACTTCCTAGCTTGAAGGTGGTCGTTTGAGCATTATTTCTGGTCATTATTGCTCATCGTTAGGAGCTTTTTAAAATTTCTTTCCTGTGACGGAAATTTCGGTCTGCTACTTGAGGGCGGATTCCATTCAACGACTAGTGACAATTTAAACCTAAAGACTATTGACCTCATGTATACTTCTTTGATTTTGACGGCTTTTGGTCTGAAGAAATGTAGTTTTGGATGGTCAACGACCGGCTTTCGCAAAGTCACATATTTCTTGAGCAGTTAAATTTCAATATAATATACTCCTCGTATAATCTGATAAAAGAAAACCAATAGCAAAGAATCATCAAATTTGAACCTATTCAACTACCAACAACCACCTAGTTTGCATCCGCTGGAAGCGAACGTTAACTTTTCATCTACTTACCAACTCTAATTGTAAAATAATATTGATAGTTACTTTTGTTCTGGTCTTCTTAAATTAACATAGAATACTCCTGGCCTGGATCCATCAGCAGTTCCTGATAAATATTCACCACCAGCACCATCATAGGGCATTCTCTGTATTCTGAAATACAGTATACCGTCTATCAATCTACATGTCATTAAATACCCACAGAGGCGAATGGTCTATCGTGAAAGTTGGGCATATCAAGGTATAAGTCATAATTTACCGGAACTATATCCAGGTGATCACATGATTCTGGTTGTTCAAACATTAGGGGTTGGTAATTTGGGACTACATGCGTTAAAACAAATGTATAATTTGTATATACGATAAATAAGTGATCAACATCTGACAAAAGCATAGAGCAGAGGTCAAAAGCAATTAGTGTCAGAATTATCCGCCAAAGGTTTAAAAGACTTAAATGATGGCGCCTAATGTCCAACGATGTTCTTCTAGATGATTTTCATACCTCATGGACATAATCACAGAAGTGATGGGAATCGTACCGCAAAAAATATTTTAGGCAGAAAGAATCGCAAACAGATCAAAATAACATTCAGTATTCAGTTACTACTTACGATAGGGGCAAATTCGGAATATCTTTAAATAGTTGATGTAACTTGGGGAATATTTCTTTATAAATGATGTCGTCGTACCCTTTTAGCAATATATCCTGGAAAGATAGAATACCAGCCGCTGATAGTTTACAGTTTCGCCCTACTTGATTTCAGTCACGGAGATATCGGAGGTTCTAACCCCTGACATCGTTTCAAAGAACTTTTACAGAAGCAACGACATCACGTCTTGTTCGTTGAAAGTTTTTTGCACCAATTGTGATGGACTGTGAGATATTCACTTTTTTGCAAATGGGATCTTATAAGAAGAGAAATCGGCTTGCCTGACCCGTAGAGACTTGCTAGATGAAGATAAACTTACCGCTGATTTGAAGTGGAATTTAGGATTTTCTCGGATCATTTTGTAAAATTCTGGAATGGTACCATTAAAACCAATACGTTTCATGGTCTGAAATGGAATCAAATTACAAAATTAATCATGTCGATATAATGTTCCAAATAACTTTGGAGATCGATTTGGATTGTTTTACTTTGGTCCATCGTGGCCAAACACGTATGGCGCTCCTGGGATATAATTTAGGATTTAACCACGACATTGCCGCAGTCTTTAATCACCAGTACGATTTGTTACCACATTACAGCTCTTTCAAATATACTAACCTCTTTCATAACTTTCTGGATCCTTTCCACTTCCTGTAAACCTTTATCATGAACTTCTTTTGGCGTCATTTCTAATGACAAGTGCCATTTTAAACAGGCTTCGTAATCTTTGGCACCATCAGTCCAACCACTGATTCCCCACGTGGTTCTGGTGCGAGGCATGTAGTCCTGAAATATAGGTCAATATATGTTCTATTGCATATTTTCGTTTCAAAACATTAGTGATATTTTCTGTAACTATAATTTTAAATGCCAATCAACATTTTAGGAAATACAGTAATCTGATAGATTAATAAAACTCAATGTATAATCGATAATAGAGACGGACCAACTAGATAACTGGAATACTGAAATCGTTCTAGGTTAAGTTTTAGTGATAAAGATGTCTGATTCGTAAAACTTATGAAGAGTAATCGTATTTAGTTCGAAACACATCTAACTGCTCCCCCTTCTTCAATTTAACACGTATTTTAAGATATTAAACGATATTAAAATCCAAACGTACGTTGATGATAAAGTGTTTCAGATCTTTGTAAGCTACCATGATGTTACTGATTGCTTTTAATGCTCGTTCTCTCATGGTGGCCCTACAAATAGACACAGATAAGAATACTACAGATACGTATTAAAATATATGACAAATGGACAGCACAAAATTGAAATTCAACAATCATGGTGTGATAATGGTACAATGTAGTAAAATTGAAACCAATTCGTTCTGAATAATGCTTGGAAACATTTCAATTAAATTGCAATGTAATAAAATGAAACGACGTTAATCTAATGTTGGCTTGGAATCAATACGTTTTGAATAACTCTTGGAAACATTTCTGTCGAATTGTTCGAATCAACCTCTGTGGTGGAGAGCTGAAATATCACGAAGGGAACTGTTTAGATTACAGGAGGTTATAACGTACTTGAATATTTCCGGCACTGATGATTTATCCAGCATTTCGAGGAATGGTTTATAAAAGATTGAAGTTTTTAAATCTGTAACTATATGTTCATCAATCTGACCAGGCACAGCTTTCTACAAAAACAAGAATTATAAATATTGATATCATAAATTACCACCAGCTTCCTCAATTACCTATTAGGTTTAAGTGCATCTGAACTAATGCGTTGTTGAGACGATCAACAACATCGTCAAAAATCATTGACTCATATCGCTGGTATCTGAAGTTTCGTAGCGTATCAGCTCAATAGGCGCAGTATCACTAATACTTCAGATACGTGTGCTCATATCTTGAAAAGATACAGTCGTAAACAAATGCTTTGTAACCCAACAGACAACTCCAGTGCCTACAATCACAATTAGTTCAAATTTAACAGCGGAAGTGACGACAGAATGCTTCTGTGAGTTTTTTTTTTTGATTATTTGATTATACAAAGCCAAAACTTGCACCCTGAAATTGGGCTTGGGCCAATATTTCATATAATATCATGGTAGGGTTTCTTTGAAATATATGTGGACCTCAGAACCAGAATGGATCATCCCTCAAAATTGAAAAAGAAATGAGTCAAACAACCATCATAATGCCACATATAGCCCATATAAAGATCATTCGATGCCAGAAAATCTCATCTCATATTTAGTTTATAAAGCGGACAATAGAGGGCAGTCTTGTCTCTTTGTGCCGCTGACTAGCTAGTAACCATAGCAGCTTAACAGAATACTTATACTGCTCCAATTTCAAACCAACTGAAAGCGGTCGGTATATAAATAATGTTCAAGATGACATAGTGGTTCAATCCAGCCAATACAATTACTCAATACAAATCGTGTTTCTAAATCTTAATTTTCATTTAGTGCCACCTGGGACTGACAGACAGTAAATAAATGAGATATGGAATCCCGTTAGGTTTCAATATTCCACACAATCAATTCTACTGTCTCATGTCGTTAATCACACACCAATGAATATACGTTTCTATCTAAATACAACAGTGACACGAAATCCATTTATGTAATCACTAATGCACATGTCCAATATACAGGGTTGTCCTTAATCGGTTTCTGTAAACCGAAATTATTTGTGAGATTGGATATGATACTTACCACCGAAGCGTTGTTGTATGTATTACCAAGTTTTATAGCTTCTCGCAGCAACTCTGTTTGTTCATCGAACTGAAATATTTATTTCAATGTCATATCAATGACGATGAATATATATAGGTACCTGTCACAACGTCACTGAAAAGTACCGGGCGTATCTAGGAAATGACAGAAGGCGCAGATGTCTCACAGAGGCGAGACCTAATGGGCCGAAGCCCCTGGACTCTGGGGTCTTGTGGCTACCAGAAGTATTAGAAGCCAACGGATTTCAGACGGCCTTAGATAATATTTGAGCATTTAGAGGGCTTACTTTTCACTTTAAAATAAGACGCCTGATAGGGGTCGGGGGCACGACCCAATGGCCCACCTATTAATGTACTATAGCTTGCAAAACTAAGTACAATCAACTTGCAAAGTAAGTTTATGTCCTATAGTAAGGATAATTAATCATACAATCTGACCTGTTTTGGAATCTTCTGCAATCGTTCAATAAAATTTTCAAAATCCCCACGTGATATAAATGGTGTAGTATCCACAAAGTGATCAGGATTAGCTGTTAAACCTTCCAGGAAGTTGAACGGATTGAGTGGATTGTGACTGAAATTAAAAGTATTGAGATGGTATTATTTCTTGTGGACCCTACCGCCACCCACCCAATAAAAACGCTATAGCGCACTTTAAATTGGAAACTGGGGAAAGGTGGTGTTATTTCTATTGCAACCTTACTGATAGTTTATTACTTATACTCACTTTCTCCATTTGTAACCGTCAACATAAGTTTGTAAGCTATCTTTGAATATAAGATAATCTGCAAGTTGTTTTTGGTTGAATCCTGAAGAATCTAATGCTTTCACTCTTTTTAAAAACCCTTCAACTTTGTCCTGAAATATCGTTAATCAATCAATGTTTCAGTGCAAAATAATCTTTTTGGTGTTTCCAAGAGTAGTTAAGAAGCATGGAATTCTGCTTTCGAAATCAATTTGGGGTATTTTGTAAATATTACACAAGGTCGATGCAACTAAATGATCAATCAGGTAGTATATACTAACAATTGTTGACATCCAGCTGTTCTCAAAACTCAAACACAATCAGACGCATGGTCGACGCAATTTAAGAAGTATTGCAATATTTACAAACGAACCACTCCAATTACTCAATCTGACTATACACGAATTCCACAATTTTTGTTCTAAAACTAAATGTGATTTTTGGTGAGAATTTTATTCTTGTTTCACTTTAACACTTACATTTCTCGGTTTGAAGAGATCCAACCCAAAATGCCGCAGTCGATCATTGTATTTCGTATTTCCGGTTAGAGTTGCAAACTCTGGAGAATCTTCCAGTCTCCAATCCCAGAATTCTCTTTCTATTTTATTCAGTTCATCTATGTCATTTCCTGTTGAGAAGAAATAAAGACCAGTTTATAAAAGAACTCCAAAATGCCATAAAGTCCTAATGTTATAATGTTATAATGTCAGTATAATGTTATAATGTTATAATGTTATAATGTCAGAATGTTATAATGAGATAATGTCATAATGTCAGAATGTCATAATGTTGTAATGTTATAAAGTCATAATGTTATTATGTCATAATGTCATAAAATGTTAAATATGTCATGTCGTAATCTCATAATGGCATAATGTAATAAAATTAAAAATAATAGTGTCACAATTTCACAATGTTATTATGTTACAACCAAGATGTCATAATGTCTTGACTTCATAATGTTATAATGTCATAATGGTATAGTGCAATAATTTTATACTGTCGTAAGGACACAGTTTGGTTTATTTTTTCAGCTATAATGTTATATTTTCATTATGATTATTTTAATTCTTTTAATTGTATTTTGTCATAATATTATTAAAATGTTACAGGAGGAATGTATAAAACACATAAAGTCAAATCAACATTTCCCCAGTGTTTCCTTATTTTGTCAAATAAGATAAGATAAGATAAGGTTATTTAATTGTATCAAAGGCATCATACAACAAAATTATGATACATTTGAAAAATATATAAAACTACCAAATGAAATGAAAGGAAGATATTTCTTAAAGCAAATGTTAAAACATGGTGATAATTCACAGGGAATAGAGAATAAGGCGAAAACATTTCTATCGCGCTATACATATATGTATAATAAGTGACATGTCGCGTACTGACACTTTCCATGCCATCAACTCCATGATAAGAAGGCATGAACTATACTATGCATTTGAACAGCGTTACATCATAATCTTTGAATCTAAAATTCAACCATAACTACTGAATAGTAATGATAAATTCTTACCACGACCCGCCATTATAGCTACAGATCATTATAGTATAAGTTGACTCGTCACGTGTCGATAATATACAATACTTTCAAGTTCAAGCACGCTGTAAATTCATAGAATTTTATAACACGTTAGTCTGTGTTTCAGTTATATTAAAGTGGACGTTAACTTGTAATCTACCAACAACCAGTAACGAATTCTTACCATGATTGGCTATGAAATCTAACCTACATGTGGTAAAAGTATCGTAACCTCACATCAATTATTTATCAAGTACAATGTAAATCGATATTTCCTTTTAAAGACATTTCATTTATTAAATTGTCCGCAATCGATTTCCAAGGCCAGATAGACTTGAGACATGTGAGGCGCCTTTAAGCATATTACAGTATTTAGGTCCTCATAATTTCAACCATGAAGCCACTATATTTAACTGTAATGAGTTGAATGGGGTGAAGCTTGGTTCTTTATACTTGAAGGTAACACTCCAGATAAAAAAGATAGCGACTCACTGCACCGGCCGTAATTATGAATCTGGGTTACTTCCCTTAACTTTTATTTTTTTGAATCTCTCTATTTGTGACCCCGACCAGCTTTTTACAAACTTAATGTTCTTCTTAATATAACTCTTAATACATCATTGTCACGCGAATGTCTCGGCATTTATTGTTCTCAAAGAAACTAGAATGTCTTACACCAGTAGAAATGTCAAATATTCAAATATAATGGTATAATCGAATTTGTCATCTATTTTCAGCCAACGAGACCAAATTTCAATGTAAAAATATGTGTTGGTAGTGAAATAAAAGAATTACCTGTTATACATGAAAGAAAAGCGAAGCATAGAACACCAGCGACTAGAAACCAATGTCGTCCCTTCATTCTCTTCTTTATATTCTGTAATATTCATTCAGACATTCCAATTAATGAATAGGTCAAATTATTATCACATCGAGGTGTTTCTGAGATTTGATAATATTCAGAACTTCGGGTCATGGAAAGGAACGATGGTTCGAACACACCAAACAGTATCCATTGTACCTTTTGGGCGAAGGTCTGTAGTATAGTCATCAAGCATCTTTCCACATAACTTCGTCATTTAATATTATGTTATTCTTTATCATAATGTGTCGAATTAATGTAGGGGTTTAGGTGAGTTCTATATATGTTCAGAACATCTGGTAATCGGTTGTCCGAACATGTCAAACAGTTTTCATCCAACCTTATACGCTGACTTCTGGGTCTAGGTCAATAGTCATCAAGTACGCTTCAAAATAGATCGTTAGAGATAATTAATTCATTCTGTATATCGTTATGCATCGACTAAATGTAGAGTTTTATTGAATGTTTTTAGACTTGACTGAACTGAACTGTGACTGACAATGCACTCTAATAATTTCGACATCGGGTTAGATTTTCTGGGACTCTCAACATTATCTTCCAATTCAAATTAAAAATGTGATCAGAAACCAAAAAGGGGTAGAAGAGAAAATTCGCACAATCTCACTGAAACAACTAAGCTGCCCATTCTGTTTAGCCCAATCAGAAATTACTCTGAAACATCTGCCTCTATTCCAGTCTCTGATGAATATTTTGACCCTGTTAAAAGGGGATTTTCCACACCTGCAAGATGCGTTTTCACTGACATAATATTGAATTAAATCAAAGATGATTGCAAATTAGTGTTGGGCATCACTGTACAGAAATATTTATCTATCCTAGTATACCTGGATTTTGTAGATCCGGGGTATCTAAATAGGTTTAAAAACCCCTCAGCTTCGGAAATGCGGAATGTCCCCATTTAACAGGGCTATTATTTCTGTCTCTACAACAGCTGACATCTGTCCAAATAGCTATCAGATGCTGGAATAGAGACAGTTGTTTCGGTCTAAATCAGCAGTAGAAACGTAGAACTTGAGCACCATTTCATTCCATATTCAACCAGGTTACAAAACTGAGGCGTTGCCGTTTCCCTATAGCGTTTTCCCCGCATTGTGAATTCTAAAAAAAGCTTCTATTTACCTATTAGTTTTCGATGGCAAAAATTGAAAGTTTATTCCACATAATCCGGAGCTGGAGAGCGTCTATTCTCGATGAGAACAATGAAACCTGTAATAGATAAAAACCAGTATCTTATCAATATTTAACTACTTCTATTATACTTCTCGCTGTGTATTCTTACTTTTCTATTGTCTTATAAAACTCTAGCCAATCACTGGAAATGTCATGATCCGAACCGCTGCATTTAATTCCATATATTGGAAACCATCCAAGGACTTCGAAGACAAGCTTCTGAATAATGTAGTTCTAGAATAGGTGCACAGATCCGAAACTGAAACTCAATGACAAACAACATAAACAGAAATGTAAACTTTGAATTAATAAGAACACCATTATGGTAATACTACTCCTTTCTTTAATTATAGCAACGTTTCAATTCACACACAGGAATCTTTATCAAGCACAAAGCACAAAGTAATATAAACTTTTATTAGTACTAACTTTGCATTTTACTTATCATCTTAACAAGTTCATTTTGACAGAGCACTTGACATATACCATATTAGGCTTTTTCGTTTGCACGCTTACTGTTGAGGGTTCTGATTGGCTGTATATGCTAGCATACAATCCAATCGAATCGCTGCATTAACAAACCACCAATGTGGAAGTCCGGTAGCTTTTTCAAATCGCAATCAGTAAGCATAAATCCACAAACCTAAACCATCAAAGTGGTTCACTTCAAATGGGTCCAAAAGCTTTTCAAAATCCAATCAGTAAGTCCACAAGCTGAAACCCTTAATGAGTTAGACATAAAATACCTGAAGACAATAGAACGAGATTCACACTTGTACTAGAATTACCGTGTTATTTACTGTTATGTTGATCCGCCATTCTCCGGAGAAATCTATTTTTAAGTGGATGAATGAGTTATTCTGTCTCATTATTTCTCACCTAATCTGAAACGATAGTTATCTTCACTGTTTCATCCACCACTGAATCAATAACAGTATGTAACGCTGCCTGTATGAGCATGTGAAACTTTGAGGTAAAAAGCAGTGGCGTTTCTTGAAAACATCAGTTGAGGGGGCTGGGTAGTGGACCACAACATTTTCCAAGGGGACAAGGGCCATTCTATCACTATGTAAAATGAAAATGAATTTAAAACTAGGAGTAGGGTCGATTGGGCCGCTTTAAGATTAAGGAATATAAAGGATATGTTGAATTATGATATACTATCAATATTTCTATAGACGACCAGGTGTTAGATACAGAATAAACTATGCTTTTAGCACCTCTACTAGTAGTTATTCCAACACCTTTTACTTCAATCATATACTGTTATGAATACTTCAGCTAATCTTGTTTACAGCCATAAACCTCCTTTATATGACCATTAATGTGCAGTCGATCGATTGCCTGTGGAACTGCATGTCCCTTGAGCAGTAGTGTAGGGTCGTGCACACCGCTGTTTAAGGAACGTAATGGAATTGAAACTCAAGTTGCATTTAGAGAAAATCAAGTCATAAATTCATGTTTAAATCAGTCTTAAATTACATTTCTCTCAATTGCTATATATTCCGCTGGATTTAGTTTTGCCAACATTTCCTCTCCTGCACGATGTTGTCCGTCTTCGCGATATATTTTATCATATTAGCATTATATGAAGTTAATACTCTATAAATAAGCACATTGTTTATATGGTACCATTGGAGACGGGGTGAGATGGGACACTACGGACTGCCTTTCCCTCATGCACTTGAGTGTGAACTTTGAACCTTGGCACCCGCTTTCTTCAACCTCAACAGTTACTACATGCTTCAAACGACAGTGGCATTCGATCTCGTGTAAACATAGCATTAGTATAGGTTTTAATTACTTGTCTAGAAAATAAGGAATATCACCAAGTCCCAGTGGACGTTCTGGAACTCATTAACATTCTAAGACATTTCTCTCAATGTCAGCTTTAATAGCAACATCATTTGTTCTGTAAAATCACTATTTCTATTTTATACCCCAGCGGTTTAAACACTTTACTGTTTTTTAATATATTTTAATATAATTGTTTTTGTACAATTTCTGTGGTTCTAGATTATTGCTCGGTGGAACTGTAGTACTTTTAGGTGGAGTTCATGGATATGAAGATCTTTAACCTGGAATAAATCCAGACGTGGGATGCTTTGATACTTGCTTGCCGACCAGTAGGTTACGGATTGCGTCAGTTCCTAGCTACACTGAAAATCAATATGTTACTTGCTCGCTGGAGGTTAGGGTCAAAATATTTCTTTAAGTTCACTCTGATGTGGAGTTTCCGGATATTGATACTGGCTAGCTAGTCTCGCGAACCCGGGCCTCGCTTAGGGACTTCGTAACGTGTTAGCTAGACTGATTTAAGATTTCGCTAACCAGCCTTACAATTCTGGCTGCGTATTCTCGAAACGATCTTCCTTCCGCTAGGATGTCCTATGCTGTTAACTTCTAACATTGTTTCTAGGATATCCTAGCGCTGAGATCGTTTCGAATATGTGGCTTGGATATCGACGTTTGCTCTGGAGGGAAGGATGCTCATCGCTCTTGCTGGCTTATCTGGATGTTGGTGATATCTTCACTTGCTCATCATCCTTAGGGTTTTGGATATCGGCGTTTATTCTACGATCTGGAAGGGAAGTATGCTCATCACTTGTTGACTGACCTAGAAGTGGTATAATCACTTGTTCGATGTTCAGTATGTGAAGGAACTCAATATTTGACGGTCAGCCAGCTAAGAGGGAGATCGTACTTTGCTGGTTGTTTTTGGCGGATCGAGTTCAAGGTTAACCAGGTTAAGAATTTCGTCGATTATGGTGAAATCCTATAGTGTTATAAAATCAAAGATATGTGATTCAAAGCGTTGATAGCAATCATTCTTCAGAGTCTGACGGTTCAGGGGAAACAACTTCCTTTAAACTTTAGACTTAGCGGTATAAATCTTGTTAAGCTTTTGCTTTGTCTGACAACGTGTGGTACACCAGTGAAAATATGTGATAAGCACGAAATTAATTGAAAGGATAACCATTTATATCGATAGATGTTGATAACAGCCGGGCCAGGTTGCTACTGACCGTCACTTCCCCTTGTACAGTTTCAACTTTTATATCATGGCAAATTTTATGTATAATACTGTATACTTTTGACGGGTAAAAAATAACAAACACACATCAGAAATCACAAAGCTAATTTAACATTGACTTAAAGTTGACTTTGATATTTTATGAGAAATTCCCCCGGAAATAACAAAACAGTCATGTCCTGATGATCAAGAATAAACCATTAGATTATTAAGGTCAATCTGATTTTTTCGATCTTCTTATCTTATTTCAAATTCAAAACTGCACGTAGTACTGGCATTATATACAGACAGGACGACTGATAATATAATACATGTAAATAGCTCATTATTGGTGAAATTGCCTTGGATTTAGCTTCTGGGAGACTGAGATCGGACATTTCCAGTGATGATGTTCCAGTTTAATCTAATAGTAGGACTAGTATATTCTGTGGTAGTACAAGCTGCAATCAAAGATGATATAATTCATATGTACAAGAATAAATTCAACGGCGATGTAAGTATCGTTCATGGAGATGTACATACAATTACATTGTTACGATGATATCATGCCGAGAGACGCGTGTTTCGTGAAAGCGAGGTGTAAAAACATGATTGGTATTTTTGCAGATGGCCCTAATCAGATCGTAGTTGTCTTCCTAGTTTATGAATGTGCATGCATTTGTTTTGTGCAGGATTTGAGATATGCTCAATATCTTCCATGGGTGTGGATTATAAAGTCGATTGTTCTATTTGGTCAACCCAATATCAATAAGAGTTACACCAGTTTGATTGATATCGTTTTCCATATATACGACCGCCTTCAAATATGAACTTGGGGGCAATCCTTGCTCTTTATATTGCAGGGAACCTACTATGGTCCAACTGATGGAGGCACATGTCAATATGACCCACCATCAAAACCACCAGCAGGACTCAATCCAATCATCAGGAATTTTGTAGCTTTAAATAAACCTCAGTTTCTGGGATCATACAGTTGTGGAATGTGCTTCAAGGTATGTCCTAGCCATTGCACGAGTCTTGAATTCTATCTCCGCAGAGGTTTTATAATGCTAAATTATTACCAGAATATTTAGAAAACCATGATCACGTTTGCTTGAGGTTATGTTCGTTAAATCGTTATTAGAGACTTTTCCTCTTCATTACAGCTGTAAAGTCCAAAACGACAAAATTTCATCTATTTACTTATATAGCTTTGCCGTGTGATTATTAGGAATGGGTGTTTAATAATAAGCATAAGTCGCAATCGCTTTTATCTTATTCTGTCTGATCTTATATATTTGGCTCGGGTGCAGCCATAACTATGTTCTTATCTTAATCTTATTTAAAGGTAAATTCTAACGGACAAGGGTTGGGTACTAATCCTATTAAGGGACATTTTGTGGTGTTCGTTGCTGATCTATGTCCAGAATGTAAAACAGGTAATAATATAAATACATGTAACTTCTTTTCTACGCCCACAATTTCAAACAATCGACATGACTTGAATAACAACTATAGATTGGTGCTTGGCGTGAATAGAAACAAAAGGTATGCTCATCTTCGAAAATTGCAGTCCATTGGTTCCTTAAGAAATGTTGTTATTTTAGTGTTCTGGATAATCCTGGAGTGTTTCAAGATAATATTGTTATCTTTTGTTAGCTTAACAAACTGTTTACTTTACTGCTCTAGCTATGATAAGAGATGTTTTCTATAATCGTCTATAAACGAGCCATACTAGCTGATAATGTTATATGCCAGCTGTCTGTACTTATTTTCAGAATGCAAACCCATTACAAACAATTTATATAAAAGCATTCTTCAATATAAATATGTAAATATGAGAGGCTAAAGATGATATACCTCCCCAGAGCGTTGTAGATGGTCATTCTGAAATTAAACAAACTATACAGATAATATCTGAATTTACGATATACCCGTGAAATTCATTGAGGTATAATTAGGCCCGTATCCAGTCTTGATTGTTCGGAGGGGAAAGTAATATATCCAGAGGTGCAATGGTGTATGGTGTTTAGTTGCAGTAATGGAATTGGTCGGTTGTCCAAATTTTTTCAGGGGGGCAATCCGTTTTTTGAGGGCGTTGCATTGCCCAGCCCCTTGCCTCCATGTAGCTACGGGTCTGGGTACGATTGAGGACAATTTAACAACGGATGGATCTCTAATCATTCAGTGTTGATTGAGTATAAACATTTTTACAGGTTCGTTAGATTTTGCTATTAATGGTGATGGTAGATGGAAGATTGAAATTCAAGCAGTGCAGTGTCCAGTTGGTAATACCAAATTAGAGTATAAATTCCAAGGCAGTAATTCCTATTATATTAAACTACAAATACGAAATGCAAGGTAAGTACTCAGAAGTAACTCTGTAAGAGAGATGTCGCATCAGCTATTTTGAAATAATAAGCATGAAATGATTTGACAGAGCTAAAACATGTTAACACATGTAACCAGTTTTCTTTTTACCTAAAAATCTAAGGTTCGGATTTTAAAAATACAGTAATCTAATTCGATATTAAATTTTAATTTAAAATCGATTTTAGTTATTTTACAATCAAAATCTTAAGGCATCTTAGGTTTTCGAGAATAAACCCCGCGATGATGCAGTTCTAACCGAAACAGCACAAAGTCATTTCTTGTCAATAAACTTCACACTTTCTTACAGAATCCCAGCAGTAGCAGTAAAGATAAAACAGAATGGATCATGGAAAGCCATGAGTCATAGTGCTGATGGTTTTTGGATATTGTCCGATCAAAAACCAGTCCCCACCCACAATATAGATGTACAAATTACCGCCGCTAATGGTGAAACAGTACACGATACTATTCCAGAACTTGGTACGTCTTCAACTTAATGCTATATTTTTAAAGGGGCAGGTTCTTCATCCGTTCGACCAAACGTACCTTAGTCTCAGAAACGGATTTTTTTCAGTAATAGAGTTCACAGCTCACCGTCGAAATTTGAGTCTTCAAATCCTTGGGTGTCCCGAATTATCCACGTTTGGATGTTAAAATGACGACTTGTGTTTTTCTTAATACTCTGTCGATTTTTGTACATTTCTAATACTTCTGGAGACTATTTACATCTATAAAAGACTCTACAATCAACCTCCCAAAATGGCGCATCTGTCCCATTAAGATTATATATTTACAATGTATGCTACAAAATGAAAAAACTGATGCAATCTTATCTATTTTTCAGTAAACGCAAAAGTACTACACGGATCTCAAAAGGTTCAGTTTGCTTTAGATGGGAACTTGCCAACTGCATAAAAATACTGATATTATAATAGAAATAAATTGTAGTTGGTTGCTTGGTGTCATCAAAAATTCTTCATTATAATATGCTAGTGTATATAATAAACACTAACAAGGTATTCAAGCTTTGGTATACGTATTGTGTATATTTGTTAAAGGCCATCATTCACAAGTTTCAGAGATTGATTCGGCCTTGAATATAATGCAAATTAGTCTTCGCATAACTCCTTCAAATATACATCAAACTATGAATTTCACTAAGAGTCTTGATATTGCAATGCAAATGCAATTATCAAAAACGGATAATTATGGATAATCATGGCTTAGAACACTAAAATTTCAAGGGTAAAACACTATCACTGATTAGCTTAGCTAAACAAAATAAACCCATGTGACTAAGGGACTTAACTTCTATTTGTATTATTCTGATTTCCATGATTCAATTGATCCAATTATTTGCGGTGTCAAAACCTGGTCAAGTTTTTCAATTTTTTCAAAAATCGGGGATAGCGGACCTGAAATCGGAATATTGCTCCTATTCACTGACAAATTCTCTTTTTTAAATCTTTTGACTCGAAAGACATCACATTTAACTTTTCACACGTAACGAGGTGCCTCTAATCAGTGCTTTGTGTCAGTTTTTAAGTAGCTGATAAGTTAGAAATAACTATAATAACTGTCTAGATTATCTGACAAGTACTTCTCTTCTCCAGTAAGACATACAGAAACCTTGGCCTCACTATCAAACCTTGTTATACATAAAGATTGGTATATAAGACAGTATGTTGTCAGGGATGTTGGCGTGATCAGCTTAGACACTGAGTGGCTTGTTTCTTCTAAAAGTTTACAAACGTTGTTGCTCGGTGGCATATTACTAATTAGAGTTTCCACTGCTTCTTTACCTAAGTTGATGGAACATCGGAACTTTCCATCAGCACTGCCCTAGCAAAGTTATTTCCCAGGGGCATGGGGCGTGACTTCGTGATTACTGAGTGATTGTTTCATATTAGGATATATCACGTGTTACTCTTATGGGTGGCTTCTTTCTAAATTGGGTGCCATCAGCGCTGTAGATATCCTCGGCTTATACACGCCGTGTTCGCCATAGACACAGATAATACGACGACACAGTTCCCTCGAGGTCACACAACTATACAGATAGTAGTAGTTTGTAGTTCAATATGGCGGTATATCGGCTCTGTGTTCTGTTGGTAGTTTGTGGAATTATTAGAACGAATGGTTTGGATGTACAACGCCTTAATGAAGATATCCAATCTATGTTTTCATGCAGTGCTCAGAAAATTGGACTAGCGGTGTCAATTGTTCAAGATGGAGAGTTAAAATTCGCTGAAGGATATGGGATTACTAATATAGACACCAATGAAAAAGTAACCAACAAAACATTATTTAGCCTGGCTTCGCTATCGAAGGCATTTGCTGCAACAATATTGGTCAAACTTTTACAGAAATCAGAGTAAGCATACTGTATAATATTTTGTCTTTTTAGAGGGTTTTTATGCGCCCAAATTGTCAGGGCGTATATTGGCGTCACCCATGTCCACCGGTCGGTCCGTTCAAAAGAAGTGTATGACTGAAGGTTGAATATTGGCGAGTGGGGGCGGGAGGAGTTATTCCCTGTCCTTGTCCCCTGTAACTACGGGTTTGTGTTGATCTATATATCGGACAAACAATTGGTAAATGTCATTAAAAGACTTTAGACATTATTGTTTACTGTTATTTTCAGATTTACTATCAAGTCTACAGTTAGAGAGGTTGTTGGTGGTGATTTTCAATTCTATGACAACCTAAGAACTAAATATGCTACATTAGAAGATTTATTGGGTCACAGAATGGGTTTACCCTCAAACAATGATATTAGATACGATGATAAATTAACTAGAAAAAATCTTTTAGAGTAAGTTTAATGATTATTGAAATGTCTCTTGTTCAACAGGTAATGATTTGAGACTTTAATTGAACAATTATGACCAAGAATTGTGTGCAACGAGAAAAATGATTTACCTCTCAGCTCCTGTACCTCTATTTCTAGTAACTTGAGTTTGCCCTGGCAGCCTCTTGACGCCGAAAGCTATGCTTTTATGAGGTCTGCTCTATGTACTGTGAAATGTTTTACGGGGAATCCTTATTTGCACGGTGGTACCTCGGTTGCCTTCAGTTACATCTCGAATTTTACAATAACACACATGTTTTGACCTAAATCTTAGTTTTTACATTTTACATGAACACCTGCCTGTTATCAAATCTACCTGTTATTTCCCAAATTCTCAACCGTCTGAATCTGAATCATACTGTACTTCATTCACTTGTTTATTTCAGTCGAATGAAATATTTACCAGGCTACAAGACATTCCGGGGTAGTTTTGTATATAATAACTTGATGTATGGTATTTTAACATATATAGCCGAGAAGCTAGGTGGTAAATCCTGGGAAGAATTAGTTCGGGAAGAGATATTTCAACCTTTAGAAATGACCAACTCTACCTTCGCTACTATTGCGGATTTTGAACACTCTGTAGCCCTACCTTATATGTATGATAATGACACTGATCCTACCAAGCTTCCGGATGAGTATACTAGGTTTGTATTCAAATATATTGCAGTTTGATTCACTAGGTCATTGTGTGAGTTATCACAAATATCCAAAAATGGATCGGACAACCCCCATAAAAAGTGACATTGTATATCTGGCCCTAAACGTACCGATAACCAATCCGTATATAACGTCTGGGGAATGAATATGTTAAGATTTGTCCAGCTAATCATTGTACTGTTTGACATAGTAGGCTAAAAAATGAATGTGAAATTGAGTGGTACATCCTAGTTTCTTGCTGCTTATTGCGAGGCAACCAATAGAGTAATTTTACCAGGAAAACAACATGGGGCGGTTTTTCGGTTTTCCGTCGGTGGAAGCCATCGGTGCTGATAAACGTTGTTTTAACATGGGGCAATTTGACACGATGCATTTTTAAAATAGGCTATTGGTTATGTTTGTTTTGTTTTTTGATACATGTTAAACATTGTGCTGGCATGTTTTATCAAACATAGGTTATTCTCTAATATTTAGGATATATTTTAATACAGATATTAACACGGGGTTAAGTGACCGTTGTAGATAAAGCAGCTATTGTTGCTTAGCATATTTCCTTGTCTAGTACATGAGTACTAAAAGATCATCCTGGGTACATTTCGTGATATTAAAGAAAACAATTAACGTTACTAATCTTCAAATTTATATTTTCAGACGATGGGCATTACTGTGTGGTTCCGGTTGCGTCATGTCTAATGCCGTAGATATGGCTAACTGGATGAACTTCCATCTCAGTAATGGTAAAACACCCAGTGGAAAACAACTAATGGATACTAGCACAGTCAAAGATATGAGGAAACCTCGTAACTTCAATTCACCGTTGAAATATTTTAGCAAACCAAAGTTCCCTAAGACGACATCTAAAGATGGCTATGGTCTTGGATGGTTCCTGGGCTATTATGATGGTAAGAATTTTGCCATTTATTTATGTTCCAAACCTGGTTTAATGGAATCGCTATATCTTGGCAGATTTAGAGGTCTAGTCTTCCAATTAGCTTTCAATCAGTACTCTGGGTGTTCATTAAACCATACGGAACAAATGAATATTTTTATGAATTTAACCACCCACTAAAACGTTACCAAGAATCAAGGTTGTGCACAACCGCAAACCACGCAATTTGTAATATTTATATTATAATTCTTATATCATGTTTAGGTTTTCATATAAATTTACTGTTGTTTTAAAGCTTTTTGTAAGTTACGTTAGACTTTGATATTTGATTTCTCAAGAAAACAACAGTGGACCATCCGAATTTGTTGATGCAATGGTTTTGGTAGAGGGTTGCGACTCTCCAGATTTAGAATTTGATATTTAATATGTTTTGCTTTATTTACAGGTATGAAGATTCAGTGGCATAGTGGTTCTACTCGTGGTTATAGGGCATTACTAACATTATACCCAGACTATAACATAGGAATATTTACCGCATTAACTGGTCGAGATGATGACTATGTGTTTAGAGTGACTCTACATAACTATATTACCGATAGAATAATGAATAGGGAGCCGTGGATACAGCCGAATTCAACTTTCTGTGATCTCCCAGCGCCGCATGTCACTGTCAAAAAATCTTCTCCGAAAAAATATGACTTTATTCAACCATCAAAAGATCTGTCAGTGTACGCTGGAACTTACTCTCACCCAGCGTTTGGTCATTTAGAAATACGAGTTAATGAATCGGGAAAACATCTTGAAGCTATTTATGGGTTCTCCAAGTTTTCTCTTCGCAGATTTTCAGCTGATAAAGACAAAGAAGAACATTTCTATGGCCAAGGTGAAGGTATCGTTTTTCAATCAAGTCAAAGTCCGTTCGTGTTCGATATGAATCTAGAAAATGGACAAGTCCAATCTATTAAAATGGTAGCATTTGAACGGAACAAAGTTCCAATACTTAAAAGACTTTCTGGAACTGCCTCCTCTGCTAGTGTTTTTACCATTTCTTCAATGTTGTTCATTATAGTGTCTTCCATTCTTTTCTTACGGTAATATTGTATTTTATGAATTCTGTGTATTCCATCCAATAAGTATGGTCTTGTAAATACAATTTATATGAAATAAGTGCCGCCTTATCATGTTGGTATTGAAACCAGTGGAATCGTTCTTGTATAGACTGATGTTACGTAGATCCTAGTCCATACATCAATCCTCCAACATTTCAGTTGAGGCCATAATCTCCCAAATGATAAGAAATTATAGTAGATCTATTGAGTCCCCATTGTATGTTGGGTCTTCAATATCAGACACGAAGCGTAGAATCATTTGCAAAAACGGACAATATCTTGTCGAACTTCCTTGTCAAAATGTCATCGTGTCATAATTGGGTGAGTGGGTGGTATAGTACCACAAATCACTCTATCGAAGATTAATTTAGTGGGTGAGGAGCCAAGTGCTACTTGGTACAAGTCATCATTGTAATATAATTGGTGGGGGGATCTACAATCCTCTCAGCAACTTGACAACAGAAAGAGACTAGGATAATCAAAGCTACCCAGCACACTGTCTACTATATTATGAATAACACTGGGAATATAACATCAGATTTCACAAACTTCATATTTTATTTATTCTATAAAATAATAACAATAACAGCAACAACAACAATTTACACAGTAATGAGATCGGACCTCGGAGGAAGCACTATATAAATCTGGATTTCTTCCATACTTATTGTTGTACGCCATAAAGCTGAAATATAACAAAAAGACAAAATTAATAAAGAAATGTTCTAACGTTTTTAATTTTTCTCAGAGAATATCTTTAACTCTTTAAAAGTTCCAATCTGAAACGGCATCCAAGGGAGGTTATTCATATTTTCACAAGCAAATAAGACCACTATAGGCTAAATATTATTCCTACCTTATTCATGATGTGTTTTATTCCTCGATGATGACTGTAAAATTCCAGTGACGTCATCAGAGTTTCTGTCTGATTATCCAGACATCTAAGAAAATAATCCCAGCATGCCTGTTTTAAATCTTTCATACTAAATTCTACGGAAGCACAGAATAATCCTGGAAGATAAAATCAAAAATTAAATAAATTTCACGAAAATAGAATTTGGTGACAAAATTGACAATTGTGTGATGCAATGAAATGAAATGGAGTTTTACCTCCTATTTGTCTGTTTGGTTTTAACAAAAAATGAGCACCGCCCGGTAAAACAGTGGGGAAAATCCTGCTCGGTCTTCAGCATTGGTCTACTTTTTTTTATTTAGGAGTTATTGTAAATGAATTCGTTCCTTACCTATGACTGAATTAACATCTGTTTTAATTTTTCCACAATGAATAAAACTAATAAATCTTCTAAAAATATCTTCTTCATAGTTCATGACCTCTAACACCAGTTTACCCTTGAACTTATCACCTTTGACCTTCTTAGCCTTGACCTCCTTCTGTTTCTGTAGAATCATCTGATAGAAAACACGACTTCTGGTGGCTAAAATGGCCTTGACCCCATAAACTGGTGTTTTATTTTCACCAACAAGAAATACAACATCACATAATTCTGGCATTGATAAAATATAATCTAAACTGTCACATAACGACTCTTGACTTTTAAATACCATTGTTTCTGATGCTGGTTTCCGACATTTGGTTTCATTGACCTTGACCTTTACTGACCCACATTCACTGCTGTCACAAGAATCATATCCAGAGGAATGGCTTTCTGTAAAATAGCAAAAATATAAAATATATTTTAGATGAATAACATAAATACGAATATTTGATATCAATCTCAATCAAGTTATTTTAACTCAAAGGAATTGATCTTCCACATTGTGTAGCCAACCAAAAAAGTAGCATACGCACAGCCGTGTACCCGTTCAGGAAAAAAAATTAATAGTGCACTCGCAAGAAAAGTACATATTAAAGAAAAAAACATACCATCTGAATCTGGAAAACAATCTTCTGTTTCTAGTTGATCATATTTAGTTAAATTAACTGATGATGTAGAGGATTCCATTTTATTTCAAATTTTAACACTAGATAGAAAGTACAGAAAACACTAGATAGAAAGTACAGAAAACACTAGATAATTCAGCTGACACTAGATATAGATAACACTTGGTTTTTGTCAGGAGAACAGGTTGAGAATGATTCTAAATTCAAGAATCTGAACTATATATAAAATCAGGTGTCAAAGGTCACACGTGACATAGTGATCTAGTCGAGTGACAGGATTCATCACTAAGAAGGTCGGAGGTCAGAAAATATTTTAATTAATTGACATTGATTAGCAGGTTGTTTTAAATCAGATCACGTGACTCATTAGTGTTAATCTGGTGATAGATGAAGATTATCTAAGAATGGTCACGTGATATTTGAATAGTAATTATATTAGTGTACAATAAATATTGAAATGTCAATATAAACACCTGATATTAATGGTAATAATAACAATATTTTCAGCTTTTAACATATTTTAACATAATGTATTTATAATCTACACATAATTAACAAAATAATGTATTGAAATTTCACTCACCCGAGAGTACACTTTAATTCCTTATTTTAACAAATCCACTATAAATAGATCGAATGATAATTTTGGCACAAAAAATTTATCTTTGGACTGGCATTATGTATCGTAATTACATACATATATAGAACTAGAAAGTGAAATTCCTAGTTTGAGGTAATTTTTAAATGAAATTTTCAGACATTTCTCGTACTTCTAAAGACTATTCAAAAATATTCAAGACCCAAATTCAACTCAAAATGGTGAATCTGCCCCTTTAACTAAAACTTGGTGTCAAATAGTTATTTTTCTCAATAGCTTGGTTGTAAAGATGTGCATGTCTATATTTTCGGTATATCGTGTAAATCGGACCGGATCAGCTACTTTAACTTTTATCTCGAGATTCCGTCTGGTTTAACCAACTTGAGTTATGGCATATATTTATCTGAATAATATTTTTCTAAAAAGTGGATAAAATTTGAACATATCAATTTTCAATATGTCATTATATCGAGAAAGTCAACATTTCACATATTTTTATTGACCAGTGAAACACGTGTATTATTATTGGGTATTAAGAGTGAAGAGGTTCCTAAAAAAACTCCTGTTATTGGGTTATAGGTGTTATAGACGATTATTGGTATATAGGTAACAATAGATACAATACTTCATTAGTAATATTTATACTAGTTAACAATATAATATTATATTAGTAGATTAGTGCCATTAGTTAAACTGTCCACTGATTAGTTAAAACTAACCATTATGTTATACATTGTAATACAAGTAAAGCTAATATCAAGATTATAATATTGACTGTAACTTCATTAGGTAATCTACTAATTAGTCACATGACTTTAGCTAATCTTCTGTCACTTACTGTACTAATTAGTCACGTGACATCATTAATAACATCATATAATCAATGTCACTATGGGGAATTTATTTTTATTATAAAACTTGTGATTTTACTCACTATTGTCGATCTATATAATTGGTTTAACACTTTATGTGTGAAGATCAGAAATCGAACCATGGATTGGAACATGGCCTAGTTCGCCGTTTCTGAAAGCTACCTTGAAATTAATGACACAAATTGGCACCAGGATTGTTGGGCACATACTGTATTGGTTCACAGTCAACTTGCGACCTTAAGAAGACGGGTGCAGTAATGATCAGTGCTATTTCTGAAACATTAGGTGAGGGGGCCTAGCAGGGGCCACACAATTTTTCAGGAGGGCCACAGGCCATTCTTTCTCTATGTAAAATGATAAAAAATTGAAAGTGGGGGAGGGAGGCAATGCCGGACAGCCTCTTTTCTGGAGTGACCGTGGATCCCGTCCCCCATAGAAACGCCAGTCATAAACGTTGCGATAGGCTATATAACTTATAGCAGTTGTTGCCATGACACCTCATCCCTGAATACAGAGTGGACAGGGCAAATTACTTAAGTACAGTATCACACGAGAAGTTATCAGATAGCCAGTGGAGTATTAAAGCAGTTAATTTTTTGGGGGCCTTGTCGAGGCGTCCATCGTGTGCGCCGTGCGGCTAATAAAAACTTGAATAGAAGTGTTTTTTGTTTTCGACGGACATAAATCTGTCTTCTGCGCCTGGGTTGAGAATAACTGTCGGTTTTTAGGTTTTAAATGATGTATCATTATTAATGCAATAACGGGACAATAGATTAAAACATTAAGATAATAACTACTAATGTTTAATACAGTTTAATGTACATATTTATATACCATATCTATCAATAATAACAATTATTTGTTAATAAAATTATTTATGAGAGAATGAATATGACACAAATTCCCTCACATTTCTAAACTTCTACTTTGAATTTTAATGTCAATTCTGTCGAAATAGTCAATGCAAAAGTTATATTTTTATCATCTTTAGCTCAAACCTCTTGCTTCTGCCCAGTTCAATAGCTAGCATCCCTACAGATACAAATTTCAAGAACAAACTAATTACATGTATTGAACAAAAAGAGTGGATGATGATAATAAAAGTAAATAATACAATATTTTATAAAACAAGACCATTATAATTCTGCTTTTCCCTTTTCACCATATAATTCTACTTTTTCTAGCTGAGATCCAAATTTACCAGCTACATCACTGACTGAAACATAGAAAAATATACATAGAGCTAGGAAAATATTCTATATAAATATGCATAAAGCACAACTGGGGATAAAATTAACTCCAGCGGTACAAAACTGCAATAAAGAGTATGCAGGTCTCATTATGGGAATTCCATTTTATGTAAAACCATTATAAGCTTCACAGCTTCACAGAATTCATAGCTTATGGATAATATCTAGCACAACAGGAACAGTTTAATAGTGAATAAGAGTGGACTAAACTTAGAAGGTTATACTACTTACTAGAATGTTTTTGAAAATCTACTTGATATTCTGAAGGCGATAATGGTTTGAAATTAGCACCCTGTAATAAATAATAATAATATTCAGTGTAAAAACAAATATGACAAAATTAATCATTGTAAGGTTAATTCACTTGATTTGCTAATATGCCATTAGAACTAATATTGGAATATTTGTTATATCTGTAATGTTAAACCTGTCTCTATAACCATGTCACTTTTAATAATTTACATGTAGAATATGTCAAGAGCCAAGTTGCGAAAGGTAATTTTCACTTACCATAGCATATCCCTCTTTAACTTCTAAACCTGTAAATTCTAACTTAAAAGATTGAAAAAATAAATAGGATTTCCCATCAGGTCTTTGTACGGAACATAAATATTTTGTTTTATCAGTGTTGGTGTTTATTGTTAACTGCCAGCCCTGGAATAAAGATACGAAATATGAAATACATAGTCTCTTAACAATGGAGAAATTAATGGTGGTCATGGGTTATAATTTCAGTCAACATGAGAAAGTCTGAGACCTTGAATCTGCCTTATAATTCCAATTGACATAATTGTACATGCCATAAGTACAGATAATTCAGGAAACATCAATGCCAATAAGTTTGGTCAAAGACTAGCTGGTAGACAAGATCCTTGAGAGCTCAAGTTTGGTGGTTATCCTTGTAGAAAACTCTTTCCTTCGGACTGGAAATAGGCAAGTAGAAACATCATCTGGTCTTTGAAATCAATCAGGACATGTGTGTTGCACTTGCAGTATGACATGTTCACTGCAGATTCCTCAAGGCTTAAAGATGGATGCTAATGTAACTTTTCAGAGATCTTCTCTTAACATAAGCTCTCAGTGGTTTATGTTTAGAAACATCCCTTGGGTTTGAATTGATATTATTACACAATGTTTACAACTTCCATCTTACCTCTTTTGTTCCACCTTGACATGCATATGTAAATTTACAGGTAAAACCATCCTAAAATAGACATATACGTATTTCAATATTAATTCATACCTCTACACATTAGGAAGGTAACATAAGAGTTTGGGTACACAGGCATAGAGGTACAAAGCGGAAAGCCATGCATAGATGAGGCATAGGCATTTTCACAGTATACTATACATCAGAAATAGAGATGCCTGCTATTGCTTAACAGTGCAAGTAGATCATTTACTAACAAATACACATTTGTTTGAAAGGTTAATCACAGATGAGCTACCATATTAACTTGGATATAGTGAAGGCATGGGACTCTGAGTAATTCCGGCAAATTACATCTCCCCCTTTTTACACGATCATAACAAACAAGAAATGCAAAACTTCTTACCAACTGTTTTTCGTGAGACAAGACCGCACCACCCGGCATAACATCAAAATGGCTGGCTTCCTCATAATCCCTGGTCATTTCATAACTCGAAACCCACTGAATAAAGCCTAAAATCAGCATAAAAAGACATTTAAAATCGTTTGAGATGAGCATTTTGGTTGTTTTGTGTACATGTGGAAGCAGCCTATCAAATATTCACACAGCACTCTCATTCTAACCAATCAGATGTCAGATACTGGTTCAGAGGTTATAAGGTCAGAGGTCATTACAATCGCAACTGCCTTGCTGCTTTTATAACGTTTGTTTTTCTCTGATACAAATACAATTACAAAAGTGAACGATTTGATATACCAGCATGCTCCTTTCATAATTCCAATAGATGAAATAAAACGTTCCCTCTAAATTGATCACAAATATCAAAATATAAACTTACAAATCTTGGAGTTGTTTTTCGATGCTCAAGGATGTCAGCAGATTAGATTGAGTTCAAAGGTAAACATCCAAGATGGCTGCGCCTATACGATTCGATGGAAAAGTGGTTCTCGTCACCGGTGCTGGAGGGGGTATGTATGATCATTTTGAATGAAAAAAACCCTTTCGTGATCGATAACATTCGCAGTTTTTCTGGTGCAATGTCAATTAAGATTTTCACTTAATTTACTCCGTTTATAAGTAATAAAAACATATCTACAGTGAAAATCGTGTAATAGGTGGATTTGGACTTTTGTCATTAGGTCCAAAGGTCTATGTTGAGATCAGTCAAATTACTATCTTATGTTCAATGACATTCATTCTAGACTTAACTCTATGAATAAATCCTGATTTTCTTATCAAGAAACACTCATTTCGATCAGGGTAGCTTAGCAGAATGGCCTGCCAGTATCAAAGTGCCCACCACTTCACACTTGCTTATAAAAAAGGGACATGTTCACCATTGACAGTTAGTTATGCCTTGTCCTCGGTCTCAGGAATTCTTTTTCTAAGCTAATCAGTTATAATATTCACAGCTTACCACACGAAATGTGAACCTTTGTATCCCTGTGCATCCAAAATTATCAGCAGTTGAAAGTTAAATTAATGACTCGTCTTTTCTGGAGACTTCATCATGTTGAAGATTAATTAAGGATATTTTTATTATAACTTTTGCTGTCATTTAGCTCAAAGATGGATGTACTTAACATCTCATTGAGTTAGAGTATGCACACTGGATATTTAATATTATAGACCTTGTCCACAAGATGTACAATATTCAGACAGGGGAGAAACCAATGAAGAAAGAAATATAAAGTAAATAAACATAATAAATGAGATGCTATCGACATGAAAAGTAATGGCACTTTTCTTTGTGGGATATCCCCTTTAAAACCTGATAATGAATGTATACCTGTGTCTGACCTTTGACCTACAGTTTATTATCTAAAGAGGACAGTACTTGATATTTTACTAAGTTTCTCTGATTACAAAAGAGTTTAATGGATATTGATAGAGAGATACCATGAACATAATGAAATGTTAAGGGGAAGAGGGAAAGAGATCTTTAATTATGCATCAAGTAGGATTTTTATCTTCTCTAGCCCAATTAGGAGCTGAAAAATAGGATTTAAAACTCCATATCCAACACATACAATACATAGGGTTGTATATTTTTCAAAGTTTTAAAAACATCTTCAGATTTTTACGACATATCACTATATTGTTGTAACATACAACAAATTCTCCAAAATACTGAGGTATTATCTTTTAATGAAACAAACTGTGAATTTTGCAGGTCTTGGTAAAGAATATGCCTTGGCGTTTGCAGATAGAGGAGCCTCCGTGGTGGGTAGGTATCATTTATTTAACAGTTAAATTCCTTCTTTAGAATTTATCCTTTAGATTTGTTTTAGATATTTAAGGCTGATGCTTTCTATCCAGCTTTTTCTTGTTACTTTTGCAGATAAATGTCAGCAGAAGTAGAAGCCTTTTTTCTCAATTGATCAGAACATTGATATATTTTAGTTAATGATTTGGGAGGTAGTATGGCCGGAGAGGGAAAAGGTTCAAGAGCGGCAGATTTAGTTGTAAATGAAATCAAACGTCGAGGAGGAAAGGCAGTTGCTAATTATGGTAGGTTTGAATTCCAAAAATATTAAAGGGTGGTAAAAAAGATATCTTGGACTATGGCTTGAAGGAAATTTTCAAATGTGATGCTGATTATGCATATTTTGAATTTGTCAAATGAATAACAAGGTTTACAAGCTACCTGTATGAATATGCAATAGAACCCCTTTCTGCCTTTTAATGTCATGATTGAAGTATATTTCTGGTGTTTTGACTTCCAATATAACTGTAAATAAAAGGAAAATGATTGTTTTGTGCAGTTCATGATAGATTTTAACTTATTGAATATCCCTCCAATGGAAGAATTTTTGGACAGATTACCTAGAGTCAAGCCACAATTTGATTGAATAAACATGAAATTATTCTTTCTTCAGATTCTGTAGAGGATGGTGAAAAGGTAGTACAAACAGCTCTTGATAATTATGGTCGTATTGGTTAGTTTAATTATATTTCTATTTTACATTCCCTGACAAACTTCTGCAATGGTTATCAGTATAAGTACATTTTTGATTCTATCATTGACAGCTTTGACAGTAAGCCAGCTAGAAAATTTCCTTATGTTTCACAATACATTATCTATTGTCTATTTATAACTATTAGAATAAATCAGTGAATGGAGTGAATATATCCAGAAAGTTTAATGAAAGTCCCCAAAGCAGGTTTTTTTTATAGACAGTACAGTAAAGGTGTCTGGTAGATCCTAACCCAGCTTGTTGTAGAGTACAATACAGTATTGTTTACAGAACTTTGTATTTTATTGTAGATGTGGTTGTCAATAATGCTGGTATTTTAAGAGATAAATCGTTTGCTAGAACTAGTGACGTAGACTGGGGTAAGCAGTTTATCATTCATATTAAAATGATATTGCTAAAGTTACTGGATACTAGTGGATACTAATACCATATCATTAGGCATTTTTCTCTAATATTAGATTTATCATATGTTCAGTGTAAATTGATCCGTTAATGTCTTAGATTATACTAATGATCAAATCCTGTTTTGATCCAGAGATTTTTCGAGATTTACTTAAATCTAAAAAGGAGTGCGCGTATTATATGTGAGCACTATATTCGCAATTATACAGTATATGTTCTTTCAATGATTCCCTTTCTTACAGATTTGATACACAGAGTCCATCTACGTGGATCATTCATGGTGTCCAGAGCAGCTTGGCCTCATATGAAGAAACAAAAATATGGAAGGTAAGATCTGGTAAGATGGATATACCTGTAGCCATTTTCCTGAAATTACAGATTTTAATTCTGGAAAAAGATATTTGCATGATTCAAGTTACAAGAGATTAACTGCTCACAAGTTAGTCCCATACTGGTCCATTACTAATAATGCTACTTCAAAGCTTTGTAATCTTTCTAATCTAATCTCTCTTGTAAATTCAAGTTATCTACCTTTATCTGAATTATTTATCTCATATTAATTATATGTCCAATTTCCTTAATATATCTCATATCCTTTATTAATTATATATCCAATATCTTTTATATATCTCATATCCTTTATTAATTCTGGTTTGTATCTTATAGAATTATAATGACAGCTTCAGCAGCTGGTATTTATGGTAATTTTGGTCAAGCTAATTATAGCGCAGGTAATATCATATCATTTGGAATTATTTCCAACTCTTTCATCATGGTTTTCTTTGCATTGTTCAGAGAGGATTACACAGGAAAAATATCTATTTGGATAGCCTGTTTGCAGAGGCTTTACACTTCTTTCGACAGATCTATATCAACTACTTTTTGGAGAGTCTACATAGCTTGAATTGTTTATTTGGTATGTTCAAGACAAACAGTGTAAAATGATGTTTGTTGATCTTCAGTAGATTGGAGCTATAGAATCAAATATTAAAGACAGTATTTGATATATTTTTACAGCTAAATTAGGATTATTGGGGTTGAGTAATACATTAAGTATAGAAGGCAAGAAGAGCAATATTTACTGTAACACCATAGCTCCTATAGCTGGTTCTAGACTAACAGAGACTGTCATGCCACCAGGTTTGTATGTAATTAATGTTATAACCCAGCAATCCGGAGAGATGAAATCTACTGTGCTATAGCATCTAAAATTGCACTCTATGACCTTGGCAAGTGCTCTGTATTGGAGTTTTAATATTGGTGATTCTATCAACTGACAAACCCAATATTTTTATGACTTCATCTCTTCAAATTCAGCATTTGTGTGTAATTATTGTAGAAATGGTAGCAGCATTAAAGCCCGAGTATGTGGCACCACTTGTCTTGTATCTATGTAACGAGGAAAGCAGTGAAAATGGAGCGTTGTTTGAAGTAGGAGCTGGCTGGATTGGCAAGTGTGAGTATCGTTTCACTCAATATCAGAGATGAGAGAAAACAGACCTGTCAAACATGCTGAACACATTTTGTTTGTGTGCTCGGCATCACCAATCATGCCACTCTACAAGGTCACGATACGTATCACTCTACAAGGTCACGATTGATACATATTGCTCTACAAGGTCACGATTGATACATATTGCTCTACAAGGTCACGATCGATACATATTGCTCTACAAGGTCACGATTGATACATATTGCGATACAAGTTCATGATGCGATACGTATTACGATACAAGGTCATGATACAACATGTATGGAAATTTAATCTTCAATTTTTCAATAGTTATCAATGTACAACTTCATAACTCACATCTGATAATGTAGTTGAGTGGAAAAAGAATTGTGATTCCAGTCACCAACTTTTAAAAATCCCCTCTTTTAATTGAATGAGAGGTATTGTCAAGTATCAATACATGACCTCACAATACCACTCTAGCATCAGCTGACAAAATTTGTTAACATCTTTTTCATCTGTATGTTTGTGTTGTAATGTTACCCCAGGATTATGTATTGTCCTGTATGTTTATCATTAACATCATCAATCATACAAAGTTTACACTTTCTGTATTTGAATGAATAAATGATAAGAGAATCTATTTGGTAAGGAATTATAATATGATCACAGTGATACGATATTATGGATTGAATGATAATTATTAAGGAGGTATTAAGCGTAAATGCATGAATGAGTTCTTTATGCTGTACATCAATCAAGTTTCAAAAGTATTTGATTGAAATTGGTTAATATTTTAAGACTTTCATTCCAGTGCAAGTTAATCCAATATTCCTACCATACCATAATTCATTCATTCTGATAATCTCATCAAACATTCACACATATTTCCAGGCAAAATTGAATTGATACTACATACTCAATAAATCATCTGTCATACTATACTCTTCTATTTCTGATGGTTCTATTAATACGTGTGGGTTGTTAACAAATATATATAAAAGTTTTATTTCAGTCTAATAAGTAAAACTTCATAAATAATGCACTCCTATTTCCAGTCAATACGAAATTGATATTGACTGCATAAATCATCTGTTATAAGACAAACAATATCAAACCTATAAACATTTCTCCTCTATTTTTTAATTTCCCTTATTATTATGCGTGGGCTGATAGGAATAGATATAACAAGTTTAGGTAAATATTAGTTATTTGCTCTTCTTTTAAAGCAAATATATCCAAGGGTGTTTGTTGGAAAATCAGGTGAGAGGGTGTAAGCAGGGGTAGGAAAATGGTCCCCATAGAAAAAAGCCATTGACTATATATATATCTTAGATTTGTAACATATTGGAATTTTCTGAAAATATGAAAAAAAAGTTAGAATGTTACATTACAGATATTTGCCTGTTTCCTTGGTTGTTATATTCAAGCAAAGATATGTCAGCTAATCCACGTCTGATCAATACATAACACAATCAGTTTATTTTATATTTAAATATGCCACATTTCTTTTTAAAGAAATATATTCATGTTCTGTGCAACCAGTATTTTTTATATTTTGTTCATTACAAAGTTTAGCTCATTGCACACAGACTGACATTGTCCAAAAAACAGGATGCAAATCTCTATGATAGTTACTGATATATTTCATTTGTTATAAGTTGTAAAATATTGTTAATTTCTACAGTAAGATGGCAGAGAACAGATGGAGCTATAGTCAGACAGAAAAATCAAGCCATGACACCTGAACAAGGTGAGATAATAATTCATAGATATAAGGTCATTCAGATAAGCTTTATGTTAGAAGTTGATGTATAATAATTTTAAGTCAGTGTTATAAACAATTAAATTTCTTTAATAACCCTGATATATCTACTTACAAACTACTTACAAAAGGTTCTCTGTTTAGAGATTGTAAATGTGAATTATTTCCCTTTGAAAAATATCTAATGTGAGTTATTTCCCTTAAAAAAAATTTATGTGAGTTATTTCCCTTGAAAAAATATCTAATGTGAGTTATTTCCCTTGAAAAATATCTGATGTGAGTAATTTCCCTTGTGATATATTTTTCCTACCTTGACTTTGTTTTAGTGAGAGAAAATTGGGAGAAAATCACGGATTTTAACCATCACCATTATCCAACTTCTATCCAAGGTAAATTGACAATCCATATTATGTATTTTATATCTCAAAGCTGCATGAATTATGACTAATTAGGCCCTACCATTTGAATAGTTATTAGTTTGGGTTCAACCAAGCACTCAGTATTAAGATGTACATGCTATATATTTTGTTTTAGGTTTTTCCCTAGTACTGGTGTACAATAGGTCGTCTAATGCCGAATAGATTTGGGTATAAATCCAAGGGTCAAGCACCTGTTTTTACAAAACTTTTGTTGTAAAGTTCCTTGAATTCTTAATCATATTGTATACCAGATTGTAATCTGCTAATCCTTACAAAATGGGCAGGGAAAGTTCTCTTTATATCTTTATCATGTGTATTTTCAGATTCGACCTCGTTTTCTCTGAATATAATAGACCAGATAGAAGCTGGTTCACAAGAGAGTTCCTCAGGATCTAGTGTAGCATCTTACTCTGGTGGTATGAATGCACAGCTAGCTAAATCACATACAGCTAAACCAGCAGAGTTCACCTATACACCTAAAGATGCTATTCTTTATGCCCTAGGAGGTATGTTATTGCAATTTCTATGGACTTTGTACTACTATATTAATTTCATGAAAAAATGAATGCCCCATCGCTATGAAATTGCAAGGTTCACCCAGCAATCTGATTCACTGTCATTGAATAAACTGGACCATTGAATAAAGTGTAGAGTAAATATCACATGGTCCACTTCTCCCCTAAAGATTTTAACAATATAAGGGTAGATTTTATATGAATTTATTAAAAGATCTTGTTGGTTGGTTGGTAGGCCTAGATGGCAAGTTTACCGGTACGACTGCCTCCAGCTAACTGATATCGCGGAACTAAACAGAGCTCTTCATTTCTCTATTTATAGTTGGTATGTCGACTAAAGAAGAGGACTATCTAAAGTTTCTATATGAAGGTGCTGATGATTTTAGTGTTCTACCATCCTATATAGTCATTCCAACAAATGCCTGTTTAACTGAAAGTCTAGTAGCAGGAGTGCCTGGTGTTGATGCTCCTTTAGTTAATGTAAGTGTTAGTTATTATCATCCTTATAGCTTGTATAAAACAATTGTGAGACAATCCAACACTGTTGCTTACCCTGATTGACTCTCTAGTCAAAAGAGATAGACTTATGTTTGCTTTTCTACTGTTCTAATTCCTGAAACCTACTCTTGATCAAGCATGGTAAACATCAGAGTAATCACCCTCGACATGGTAAAAATGTGTCCAATTCAACCTATGTACGTTTGTCAAAAATTTGACTAAAGTCTTCTTAACAATCCTTTTAACTACCCATTTCCCATTATACCATAATAACTATGAAGAGTCCATTGTTTATTTACAGGTATTACATGGTGAACAGTATTGTGAGGTGTATCAACCATTCCAACCATCAGCTACCTTAACTTCAAAGTGTCGCGTGTTAGATATATTAGATAAAGGCTCTAATGCTGTAGTCTTATATGATGGTATGTACTCAATGTATGATAATAAATGAAACTTTTGGTATATCTTACCTATAAATGGTCCCTGACTGGAGGGGTAAGGGGGGTTATTGGTTTGCTTGGTTTGGTCTTTTTTTGATAGCTTCAAAATAATAGAAGCTGCAAGACAATCTTTTCCTACTGAACACAAAGCTATGGGTTTTGTTTGTCCAGTAATTACAGTAGCAGGACTATTCCTTGTTTTCTGGATATGACATTAAATAATTTGTTGGGAACTGTAAAAGATGTTGGATTTTCAAACTCTTTATTACAAATGATAACCTGATTTTTAACTTTGTTCATACTATTATATTAATATATTTCAGTGGACACCTATAATGAAAAACAGGAGAAAGTAGCCTATTGTCAGTTTGCTATATTTGTCGTAGGCAAGGGTAATTTTGGGGGTGTTCGAACTTGTGAAGGAATCAAGAAACCTGTTGATACACCTAAACGTTCTCCTGATTCTACCATTAGAGAGAAGACTTCTATTGATCAGGTAACTGTATAAGATTTAAACCACATTTAGGCTGATTTATTAGGCTGTTGGGTTAAAAATGTCCTTGTTGCACACTACATTATGTTGCTTTGTGTTATTCGCTGAATCTTTTCTTCCAATTTGAAGTCATTTTTTCACCCATACAGTAAATAAATGTAAAACAATGCTAGTAAAGTAATAATATCAATATGTTCTTTGGGGCACAATGTTTCTGGTTTTATCACATTATTCTTCAAATTTTAACTTTTTTTGATGTGAGTTATGAATTTAAGTAAAAACTATGAAAATTGTTGCCCTGGAGCCTCAGATTTCATGTTACTCAAGCAAGCAATAAAGAATATATAACTTGACAGATTATTAATTTGTATGATAATTGTACAGTATGATTGATAATTTCAGGCAGCATTATACAGATTAAGTGGTGATACAAACCCTCTTCATATTGACCCATCTTTTGCTGCTATGGCAGGTTGGCACCTTTTATATTGTTGTTCTTTTTCATGCATTCATTTAATCACAAGTTCGCCAGATATTTCATTTATTCACAATTTCTGAAATTAAGCCATTAATAGCTCCTGCTACTCAGGGTAAAATAATTGCCATGTTGTGACCAGTGCTATCCAAAGTCAGCAAAGTGTCTTCTGAATCTAAATTTATCAGCCAAATTTTGTCAGTTTAAACTATCATTTTCGAGATAATTCAGAGATGATAAAAAGTATTATTGAACATCTTAAAAATTGCACGAATTGGTGAGTTAGTAGCTTTTCCATCTGGCATGCCATCTTTCTTTGTTTTAAAGGTTTTAAAACTCCTATACTGCATGGTTTATGTTCGTTTGGTTATGGTGTAAGACATGTATTAAAACAATATGCTAATAATGATGTATCATTGTTTAAAGCAGTAAAGGTAAGGTCAACTGTATTTAAGCCATCTTTCCATTGTATAATAATAATAATAATGATAAACTCTTTATTTTACAATGGTCCAATGATAATGATCAACTCTTTATTTTACAATGGTCCAATGATAATGATAATGATAAACTCTTTATTTTACAATGGTCCAATGATAATGATAATGATAAACTCTTTATTTTACAATGGTCCAATGATAATGATAATGATCAACTCTTTATTTTACAATGGTCCAATGATAATGATAATGATCAACTCTTTATTTTACAATGGTCCAATGATAATGATAATGATAAACTCTTTATTTTACAATGGTCCAATGATAATGATAATGATAAACTCTTTATTTTACAATGGTCCAATGATAATGATAATGATAATGATAAACTCTTTATTTTACAATGGTCCAATGATAATGATAATGATAAACTCTTTATTTTACAATGGTCCAATGATAATGATCAACTCTTTATTTTACAATGGTCCAATGATAATGATCAACTCTTTATTTTACAATGGTCCAATGATAATGATAATGATAAACTCTTTATTTTACAATGGTCCAATGATAATGATAATGATAAACTCTTTATTTTACAATGGTCCAATGATAATGATAATGATAAACTCTTTATTTTACAATGGTCCAATGATAATGATAATGATCAACTCTTTATTTTACAATGGTCCAATGATAATGATAATGATCAACTCTTTATTTTACAATGGTCCAATGATAATGATAATGATAATGATAACTCTTTATTTTACAATGGTCCAATGATAATGATAATGATAAACTCTTTATTTTACAATGGTCCAATGATAATGATCAACTCTTTATTTTACAATGGTCCAATACACCAGGACACGGTGCTGTCTAACATTCAGTCCAAGGGGATAATACAATAAATTAGTATGACTAAATGAGGAAGTGAAGAAAAACGTTAAGTTTTAAGATATTTATAGCATTAAAATTGATAAAATGATAAGCGAACATCTTTAGTGTATGTCCTGAGGTTACAATTTGTATATTGAATAAGACACACTACAGGTTGCATTGTATGCTGTATGTATACATCATAGTTGATTGGACTGTAATAAAAGTCAGGTTATTCTAGTCTATACTGATGCTGTGCCCAAGAGACTTAAAGCTCTTTAAAGAATGCAGTAACTCATTCAATATGGATAAACTAAGTGCTTTACTCTCCCATGAGCTTTCTTGTTTTTTTCAAGTTTACTTTCTAATTAGTTAGGGTGATTTAACAACGTTTGTGTTAGATTGTGGGGGCAGAGATCAGTTTAGATTAAAATATTTGATTAAAAATACAGAATATAACAACATTCAGGTTGATTATTAAATACATAGAAGTAAATAGTTTATAGAATTTTGCATACTGCCCCTTTAAAGCATATAACATTAACATTATGTGACATTACTTGATAAAAGAGTCTACTAGTCAGCTATATATCTCATAATCACGGGACCAGTAAAGGAGCTACTTGTTAAATCTTTACTCTAAATATTTAACAGTCATTATTTACTTCAAAGATGTTGAAACAGAAGCATTATTTCTAGTTCACTGAGTTACATTGTTGTCAGATCTCTGTATAGACCATATCCAAACAACTGTATAATA